GAGCTGAGGCGGGCCAGCCGCGGGCGAGTCCTGTGCCTTGGAGTTTAGTTGGTTTTTTGTTTTTCCCTAGGGCTGCAGACCAGCACCAATTCGCGAAACAACCGACTTGGTGCGTGGGGGCGGGTGCTCAGCTCCCACGCGCGATCCTGCCATTCCTGCCAGTCGTCGGTCATCCTGGTGGCCACAGTGCCACTGCCACAAATATTTGGGAGGGGGGGTGAGGAACACAAAGCGAATAATTTAATCAAAATCAGGGTCATTATTCAATGTCCCTCTCTGCCTCTTATGTCCCAAAATCTCATTGTAAGAGTAGGCTGAGATATATACCTGTATACGTCCATCAGAGCCAGTATCATTATTTCCTCATTTCTTATAAAGAAACCAGATCTATGGTTTGCCAGGTTTTGTACATATATGTAGAAAAGAGCCGTGGTGCTCAAATACATTGGTTCACTCTTAAGTCCAGGCAATATCTAAATAAACCCAGTCCTTGATCACTTTGTAACCACAGAATCAAAAAGAAGTGACTTGCTCGAATGTGGCATTTCTTAATGGTTACACTTAACAACCATCTCGCTGGACAGCAAAGCCCACAAGAAAAAGAGGGGAGAATAAGATGGGGGAAGGAGGACAGAATTCCTGTCAAGAGGCATCACATTTCAAAACAGCGAAGCTGCTGGTGGAGCACCTCGGATTTACCTTCTCCCTGCCAAGCACGCACTGTCTCTTCAGGAGGCTGCATGAGCAGACAGCACGAACACTCGCCCACGGCCCCGCTACCCCATCTGTAGCTCATCTATGCCACCTGCAGCACTATGTTTGGAAGAGTTTTCAGAGAGCATATGTAAAGCCACACAATTTCCTGTGCTGATGATACTTCCTTTTTCTTGATCAGTATCCAGCAAGTCATCCTAAATTTTGCATATTGAAGAAACACACTTCCTGACTTTTTTTTTTTTTTTTTAATATTTCTGCCAGCAAGCCACCTTTCTGCTTCTCTAGACATCACTTCTTTCCATCCAGTCATTCACTTGAGCTTCCTCAGTGTTAAATTTGAAAGTTTGACATTCTATACTCCTGCTCCATTGGAAACCCTGCCTCACCAGCTAACAGCAGTAGAAGTCACAGCAGCTCTATCTCTACGTCCCAGCAAGAGACAGCTGCTGCCTGTCTTCAGTGCCTTGTCCAGACAGAAAGACTTAAAAAGACATGTAGGAATTGCCAAAACTATCAGCTAGGGCAGTATTGTACAGGCAATGATGAAATTCATTGACGGGTCCTCAAGAAGAGAACAGGCATTTAGATCGGCTAACATCCAAACAGAGCCGAGGCATGAGTCTGTCAGGAATGCTCTCTGCAATGTTTTCCTGTGTTGCCTGCATCTCTGAAAACTGGGCAATGACATTTAGCATAGGGTAGATGCAGTTCAAGTTGTACTACACCTTACATACTGACTTAGCAGCAATCCCTGTGTACCAGCAACGTACAGAAGGGCTGGGGCCAAGCAGCATCCAAGTCTGAGAGTCCCAAAGCATTTCAGGAGAAATGGTTTTCCCACACTGGGCGGGTGCCTGCTCTCTGTCGGTGTCAAGCACAGCTTTTGTCCCTTCCTCCAGGGCTGCTGCCAATGCCAACACCAGAAAATCTCAGCAGTTTATGCTGATTTGCCTTGTCCTGCTCATGTAGAAACTCTGGGCCACAAACAAATTTAAGGTACACGCAAAATATTGTGCTGGTATTTCTTTAGAAGCATGCACTGACAACCTTGTATCAGGGCTTTTGTTTCAGGTTTAGTAAAAGCAGGTTTGCTCACAGTTAGCTTAGTAACTGCTTGAAGGAACTCTTGATACTATGAGCAGGAGCAAGCCTGCCAAGTTTCATGCATGGAGTCTCCCAAGATTAGCAGAGACCCTGACCCAGACACAGGCCTTTGCAGCACCACTTGCCCTCATAAGGCTATGCAGTAAATACTGGCAGCTATCTGCATGATATATAGTAGGATTAAAATAGTTTCTTTTTTTTTTTTTCTTTTCCACAATACTTGTGTTTTAGTAAAACACCAAAAATGCAAACCAAAACATGCTGTTTACTTCATCCTGCTCTGTTTGCTTTATGAACATTTTAATTTTATTTCTTCCATGATTTTATGGGCTTTGTCCTGGCATGGTACCAGAAACTAGCAGCCTGGCTTCCTGTATGAAGGATGAAAAGGAGAATATTTCTAACAGTTACCCAGAGCATCCACGTAAGGTGCCTCTGGCTACCTATGCAACGGTGAAGAAGTTCCTCTGAAAAACAATATATTGCTGGTGCATCCTGAGAAGTAAACCCATTGAAGATGGATTTGCTGTGGAAATTGTTCTGCATCGACGACCTGTTTCAGTACAGAAATTTAAAGATGTACAAACCATAGCTGTCTGCACCTTCTCAGGGACAGGCAGCTGCTTGGCCTTTGCTCTGGAAGGGAACTGGACTTGCCTGTGAGTTCATGCAGTGACCGGTCTGGCAGGGCCCCGAGTCAGTTAAGCACCAGGTGTGTTATCAGCATTTGTTTTTATCGGCTTTATCTCAACCAGAATCAATTACCTCACAGTGATTTTAATATACTAAATACAAGAGAGATCCTAAAAGCTGGAAAAAAATTACCAGGTACTTGTTAGCTCCAGGAGGGAGCAGCCAAAGGTGATGTCAGAAAAACCTTCTGACAGCTCCACTTAGGTGTGGGCACTTTGGAAACTCAGTCAAGCTGTAACCTGCACATAAAAAAAAATCAGGATATTTATTAGCTATTGAACATTCTGTCTTGGTGTAAGCACATGGAAAAAACCCCTGCATCCTGGTTATGTGACAGGAGCCATGTCCACCTTTGATCTGTGAGATAAATAAAGCAGCTTGAGTACAACTATACTAGCAGACAGAGATCTCTCTGAAGAGATTGGTGTATAATATTTTCTGAACTCTTCTGGTCATATATATATATATATATATATATATATATATATATATATATATGTATACATACACACACACACATTTATTTATGTTCAAGTAGACACATGAATAAATTAATATAAAGATATATATATGTACATAAATGTATAGATATGTATATATGCAGCAAACCAGTGTTATTTTTTTTTACTACATCTAGGAGATGGGAAAGTAGAATGCCCTCCATCTGGAAATTTACAGAAGACAACAGAAGACAAATTAGTAACCCTGGGAAGACAGAAAGACTGCCTGCAGCAATGTGACTTAAATGTTTTGGCATTCCCTTGTTTTCATTTAGTATTTGTTTGGGTGCAGTTGTTACTGCTTGCCGGAACATGAAATGCTTTGTCAGCTCCTTAGTTAATTTTTTTTTTTTTTTTTTTTAACATTTGTGTGTTATTACAGTGGAACCACAAGGTGAAGTTGTGTGAGAAGAGTACATAAAAAGCCACTTCTGTTGCATTAATTTTTATTTGGGTCAGGATTAGCAGGTTTAGTAGGTCCACAAGGCAGAGCTGCATAATAGCCTGTAAGTATCTCATTAAAGCTCCATTAAAAAAAAAAAAAAAAAAAAGAGGCAGAACTGCCAGGCATTTCACATGCAGTCCTGTATGTATGCTTTGACACATCACAAAATTATGAAAGAGGCATGTGAATAGGAGGCAATGCCAGAGGAAAGTCATGTCCCATGGGTGCAGTAGGATGTGAAGGCCGTAGCATATTGGTTACCTGAGGTTTGGCCCTAAAGCATCTAAAGGGAGCACAGAAGTGAAAAATAACAGGGATGATGTCAAAGCATGGAATGGGAAACCCATGGGGTGTTGGCTCTGGCAGCAGCTCAGAACACACGTTTGTGCTTTGGCAGGACATCCAGAACTGCATTTCTCTATGAAAGCAGAAGAAAGGAGAAAAAATGAAAGCAAGAAAAGGGCAAGATTGGCACAGCTGAAGCAAGGACATTCCCTGGATCAGGCCTGCCTAGCTGGGGTGACAGCAGCACTTGCAGCCCTCGGGGCCACATGCTCAGCCTGGCTGAACACAGCACGTTAAGCTGGAAGTACCTAATCCTGGAAAGGGAGCAAAGGTATTTTTAGTCCCTCCAAGAGTCTAAAATAGAGCTAGATAAGATTAATGGACATTTATGGGAGTTAGCAAGAGTTAATAGGAGAGACCAAACCTCTCCACCTGCAGTGGCAGCCTTTTTGAAGTGATGGAAAGGGAAACAATATGGAATGTTCTGTTTCTGAAATATTTTGGGATTTAGAAAATCCAAACAAATAATGTGTTCAAGAAATTACAGCTGCTTCTCAGTGATTTTTTTTTTTTTTTTGCTTTTAAAATATTTTGTTCAGGGAGACTCCTGCAAATGTATGTCTTCTTAAACCAGAGTGTTTAAAAATATACCATTTTGTAATAATTATTATGTTCCATCATTTCTGAACAAGCTGGATCTGTGAAAAAGAGACCCTCAATTTTCTAGCTTGCACTGTTACTTGTGACACTGTCTGTGCAGATCTTTATTTCTCAGCAGTTCAGGCTTATTTTTCACCTTCAGAACTACAGAAAAGGGAGACTGGTGATTTTCAGCCTTATTTCTTTAGATCCCAGGGTGCCTCTGAACTTGCCTAAGCCATAGTTTCAACTTCTGGTGAATACACAGATCCTTGCAACTTTCCCAGAGTGAGGAAAGGCTCCAAGCTCTGCAGCACAGCTTCTTCCCTACATAATTTGCGGATGCCCACAGCCCATGCTGCCTGTTTAGAAAAGATAATGAAGAGACACTGCTTTGAAGGGGAAAGACACATTAAGAAAACAAAGAGGAAGGTGAGTTTTCTTACTGCACACGTGGCAGACACCCTGATTTTTGTGTGAATGTCTGACACAACTTGTCTAGACTTCAAATTTCAAGCTGGCACAAAGCAGCATATGTTTTCGAATTCAGACAGACTAAAACAGTTTTTTGCATCAACATTAAGAACTTTATAACTATTCAAAATCAGCACCAATTGTTGGATTAATATTTTAATAATTACACACTTTTTACATTATGAAAATAAGCCATAAATAGTGTAAAAATAATTCTGAAGATCAACTTCTCACAAGCAAGAAACAAAACCCAAAGTACAAAACTGAAAGAAAACAAAACAATATTCAACTGAAAAACAAGGAGAAATTTTAATAATAAAAACAAAAGCATGCTGTTTGATCGGGTTCAATTAAGTCCAGACCAGTGGCCACAAGAAAGTGGTAAATATAACAAATTAAAATGGGTGATTAAAACCTTGCAATTCTTTACACTACTCATCAAAAGAGGTCTTGTGACATATTTACAGTGCTAAGACACTCAAAATATTTCTAGTATTGATAATATGATGCTGACCCATGTATTTTTTCCCCCCAAACACTGAAATCCTTGCCAAATTACTTTTCTTTGTATCTTTATCTCTTCTACCTCATTTATGAGACCATTTTCAATACAAAAATAACGGCACATATAGATGAACTTAAAAAAGTAAAAAATACAAATAAAAATATATAATATTTTCCAAAGGAAAAATTCAGATACATACATCTTAGCAACATTTTTAAAGTTGTGTGATATTTTCCCAAACATGTACAATAATATAAGAATACCCACATATATGTTAACAATATGTAAAACATTCTTCCACCAACCCAACTCTCCATAATACTTCAGGGAAGTGTGCAAGTACCAATGGGATCTGGGAAATTCATACAATTTCTTTTTAAAATAGAAACAAGTAAAACACTAACGGTCCCAGGTTAAGTTAAGGCCCCCTGCTTTCAAAGAAAATTCAATTTCCAAGCAGCATTGATAACTGGATGCATTTAAAAAAAAAATGAAACAAAAACAACACTCCAAATCCCTTTTAAAATACAAACTCCATTTGTTCTGTAGAGTATCTTTTACAGAAATGATGGTGGCAGGCACTTGTTTCTAACTGCATTTAATGAATCCAACCACCACGTAAAATACTTTAATAACAGAGGGTGCAAGAAAACCTTCATTTGTACATTACAGCAACATTAACATCCATAAAAACAAATGGCAGAAAAGAAAAAAAATCAAGTGTTAGTTTTAATTCCAGTCACTGAAATAGAATTTTTGCAATGACTACAGATTAGACTTTCTTTTGACCACTATCTTTGCAGATGTGTTTTGTGTAAGCCTTTAGTGTGAAAACGTAGGAATCTCATTAGGTAAAATACAGAGATTTAAAAATGTAATACAAGATGGTCAAGTAGCAGAGATCAGGAAATTTGAAGGGTCAACTTCTGCATGCCTTGAACCTCTTCATCACTTTCAATAAACAGGCTGACAATGTCTCTGCAGTTCTTACTGAAGTAGTCCTGATGTAGGCAAAACCCCACTGCTGAAGGTGGGAATACTCCCCTCGTTATAAAGCCAAACACCTGGGTCCTTCCTCCTGCGTGTCTCAAAGAGCTTTGCAAGGAGAGGACTCATCTCTGTTCCCTGGCCTTGCCGGGGCTGGGGAGGCACAGCCAGGGGAGGAACCTTGCATGGCTGAGCTGGGTTTGCGATCCCAGTTCTGGGGCGGCCACTGGGACAACTCCCTCCACACCCCACGGGGCTCCAGGATCCTGGCACAGCCCCCAGCCTCCCACGAGGACCAAAGGCCTGCTGATCTCATTTGGGGTTGCTTTGTCCCTCTCGTGGCATAACCAAGTAACGGGTGGTCACACGCACCCCGTCCATGGGTGCGATGCTCAGTGGGGCCAAAGCTAACTTTTCAAACCGTACATCAACCTTAAGAATTATTCCTTTTCCAACTCTATACTTTACACATGTGCAGATATATGGATTTGAGTGTTCTGAAACTCATTCATACTACTTACACCATAGACTAAAAGAATATACAAACAACTGGATGAAAAGTATCATTCTGCTTTGCTACACTATCAGAATATGACATCACGACCAGCAATAAATAAAAATATAAAGCAAAAATACATTGTTTTGTCATTTAACATCTCATGCTTTACCGCAGGAAAAAACAAAAAGTTTTCCGAAGCATCCTGAAAGAAAGCTTTCCCATAGTTAGTCTATGAATATGAAGACAAGGACCATATATGTCAGACATATTCCATACAGTGCTTAAAAGATTTGCGGCATCTGTAGCAGGGACTTCTGCACAATGGGGTTTTAATGCACTGGAGTAACAGATAATTACAAAACTTCATATGAAACAAATACTGAAAACTCTCAAAGAAACAAGGATTAATCATACCTGAAAAAGTCAGGGATATAGAAACTGTGTAGACTAATACCACTACACAGTTCTATAACTGAAAAGACTGGTATAGGAACTACTGTTCCTGTCACAAACTAAACAAAACAAATCATACCTATCTGGAGGAATGCCACTAAAAGATACAACAACACACTGGCAGTTCAAACTGTAGCTTTGCCATCAAAAGGAAAAAGATATAATAGCACCAGAAATAGTTGCTTCTTGAACAAAACAAACACGTTGCAAGTCTTCACAGGGTGCTTTTCTTGACGAAATATTAAACCAAATTATTTTTTTTTTCTTGTACTGACCACGCAACTTTTCTAGATATGTTTCAGTTTCATTTCAATTCAATCTGAGATGCAAGTATTATGTAATATGTATGTAATCTATGTATGTAGTTTAACCTTTCAAATGAAATTGTTTATCTAATGCTCACTCATGGTTATTTAAAAGGAATGAACATTTCAGGATATTGAACAACACAAAGGCTAAAAAAGCCAAGTAAGATTATTTAAGAAAAAAAGTATTCCTACCTGCTGGAGATTTATTAAATAAATTAATTTACAAGACAGCAAATAAAGCAAATGAAGGTGCTTAAGTGTTTCTTCAGTAAGGTCTCAGTGTCAGGGAGTTAAAGGAGAGCTGAGTTTTGACTAACATTTAACAGTAGCATCTATAATTATTTCCTGAATGACAAAACCATGGACCAAAGCTCTGCTAGCTTTATTGGTGCATACAGAAATGGATGCTAGGAGTCAGTTAAAAAATATAAGTACACAAATTAAAAAAAAAAAAGAAAAAGAAGGTGCTAATTATTTATCAGCATTATTTATCTTCTTGCTATTTCTTAAATGAGCTGCGTTTGTGGACAGTCTCAATATGGAGTTGCTAAATCATCAAGGCAGATAATAAACATCCTGCTTGATTTTGCATCTAAATACTCCGAAGGACCTTTAAAAACATTTCATCTTACTGTAAGGCCCTCCTTCTGAAAGGCCCTCAGTGGCATAGTTCCTGTAACACTCTGATAACGTTTTATATTCTGTCTGTGCCTCCTGAAGGTTTTCACTGTTGCAACCATCACTATTCTAACAGGTTGATACTTGCATCTCTGAAAATTTAGGGAAAACAAAACATATTTCCTATATCTGTGAACATCTGTTTATTTCTTACAATTGGAAAGACAAAACTGAGCAGTAAAAATACATATGGAGGCCACTAAATTGACCTCTTGCTTTAAAAATCTGGGTTTTCCTCAATGAAAGGCTGGGTTTGACTCCAATATACCAAAATGACAATAAAGATTCATCAAAGAGAAATATTCCATTATAGTGGCATTTCCATTGATCTGAGATTGTGAAGCAATACAAAAAGTGTGACCCCATCTTCACATGATTTAGAACTGATGGAGCAAGGAAAAATGTGCGTTCCAAGAAGGGCATAAGGTGCCCTCATATGAATGGAGACAAGCTGTCTTCTTCAACTTTAGTTTTGGTCTACATAGGAAAGACAACTCCTCAAAAAAAAAGCCTCTAAAAATGGGATGATCCTGCTATATACATTAGGAACAGAAGTGATATAAAAAGAATTTCCATCTGCCAAATATGGCACCATTTCTCATAAATTATACTCTCAAACTAACTTCAGTGCACCATATGAAGACCCAAAATTGTAAAAAATACCTCGTGGCAAAACTACAAATGTGCACAAATTACGTATTAGCAATAAAAAAAAAGCAGAGAAGGAAATGTTTCTCTAGAAAGCCATCTGAACAGAAAGGGAGAAAAATCAACACATTTAACAGTGGAGCGTGGTGACAAATGTGCAGTGATAATCACACAGAATTGTTTCTCTCCAAGATTTTTTGAGCAATAATGTCCACTAAAATCACCATAACAAAATAAAAGAAGCAAGATGAATACATCATTCTGTGAAACACAAAAATAAACTCTTTCTTTTCTAGACTTAGAGGCTTCAAAGACTCTGAAATAAAAACTGCTAATACTGAAACAAAATGAATATGTTCAATGCCGTCACCACAAATGTTGAATAGATGATTGAAATGCATTCTTCATGGCAACAGAAACAGGAAAAGGAAACAAAACCAACCATTGCTTCCAAAGTCCCGTAGAGAAGTTCAGCTAGTTATGTGTAATTTAAAGTGAATAACCTGAAAACCACACCATAATACATACACCTCTGGTCAGTTCCATTGTTCCATCCTCCATCCTCTGGAGGATGATCGGATTCATCCCCACCTCAGGAGTGCTTTCTCCTCCAGCAGTCCCAAAATACAATATGCAGAGTGTATACACTCTGTCCGTCCTCGAGTGAGGTTGAGAAGCATCTGGTTTCAGGTGGTGTCTGCCATCAAATGATCCTTGCAGCACCTCTGTAACCTTTTCAAACAACCCACAGATAAGTCTGGTTTCTTCCTCAAACTTCTGTCCCTCTTGATTAAGGACTCGACAGGGCCTATCGTGAATGTCTTCACGACTGTGAGCAGTGCAAGGCAAACCGATGCTGATCAACAGGCAGGACCCTCTCTGAGCAAAGGGGCCACGTATCCCACAAGCATGGAAGCCATCCACCTGCAGCTGGAATGCTATTCCCCAAAAATTCAAGGCCTCTTTCTATGCTCCTCTGGTTTATCTCTTTTTAGCAATGAGCCATGGTGTGACTCCCTTGAGATGACAAAAGGAAATGACTCAGAAGCTGGAATCAAAGGTCACCGTCAATAGCCACTCATGATCACACAGCAAGCAGGTCTGGCACACAAACTCATGCTTTTAGTTCATACGAGCAGATGCGGTGTCATGAATCAGTGACGTGTTTAAGATGGACATGAAAGCCAAGTCAATAAACTCCAACAGCAGCTGGTACAGTACATTTCATAGCATTTTGCTCTTGTTTGGTCACAATTTCTTGTAAACTAGTTCATGGCACTCATTGTCCATGCATATCCACAAGCCAAAATATAAGAATTTACAGAAATATTAATTTCTATTATTGATCATTGTTTTGAGATCTCTCCCATTAGAGAGACAATCTTTACAGGTTTATCCTGCAGTTATTGTATCGTCTAACTGCAGATGTAGGTGAAAAAAAAGATGTATGTATGGACTGTTGCAAACAAGTAGAAGCAGCTACATGTAAACATATCTCAGACTCGCAAAATCAAATTTTCAGTTCTCAACTATAAATAAAAAAAGTGGAGCACTATATACACAACTTCATGCTTGTAAGGTTAGATTCATCACTGCAGAGACAAAAAGATACAGATTAATCAAATTAGTAAGATATTTCAGACATCTATTATAAATACATAGATAAGGCAGAGTTGCAAATATGGATAGTTATTTCCTCAGCACCAACTATTCTTCAGAGATAAATGTACCCGGGATTTCACTTATGTTCATGTTTTCTGATATATTATATGCCAGTATCCCTCCAACTATATTATTCTGAATACTAAGTTTTTAAATCAAGCACTGTCTAGGTTAAACATTTACTAAAATAATGTTGTCATTTAATATTGCCATAAAACACAAAACCCAGGAGGATTTACTGAAGAATAGAAAAGAAAGGCAAAGGAAAAGGTCTGGATACACTGTCCTTCTCGGTATCCCAGAAAGCCAATATAATAATACATCAACAGAAAAATTTGACAAAAATGCCACATCCATAAGCTTTTATAATGAATAGGAAGCACTGATCATCTGCAGAAACCAAAGGATGTGTGAGTCTTCATGTGAAAAAATAAAAGTCTTGGACTTTTCATGAAACTAATGCCAACTATTTCTACTGCCTCAATGAATTATTCTACATAAATTACAACATATCACATGAACTACTGTCATGGAGAGGTCTGATCTTGCATTGCTGGATATGTCTGTCTAGGAGGCTCTGAAGCATATCTTGATACACTATGATTGTGACAGGCATTTCTGTGTTCTAAGGGCATACTGCTCCTGAAAAGCAAAAGCTCTGCCCATCCTACCTTTTGCCAACAGCCAGGCATTGGTAATCCATCAGGACCCTGTTTGAAAGGGAGTAAAAGGATGAAAAAAAACCAAAAGAGCATAAGTAAGTTGGACGTTCAGATAGTTCATCAACATCTGTTAGAATAGCTGAAGCAGCTTTGATTTTCTATGTAAAAAGTAGCTACCAGTTAACTAATTTCCTCTCTTATTCTCGAAGTGAAGGAAAAGCTAAAGGCAGGAAGGTTTACACTGTAAATACAAACATGCACTTCTCTGCCAGAAAGATTTGTTTTTTTTCTAGATCATTAGAACTTCTTTATCATGCATGGGGATCTTTATCAGTTTCTTATTGCTACTAGAGCTCAGGTTACATGTTATTTTAAATATTATCTGTTTTATTCACAATAATATCTGAATGTACAAGATCAGTGAGAAAAAAAAATACTATCACTTTTATCTGGAGAGTATTACGTTTTATAGGCTCCTCGTTCAAAGGTCACCCTGCGATAAGACAGCAAGACTTGAATGGGGATAGGATCTTTTCACTTTCTATGTCAGTTTTTGAATGAAACAGCAAAATCTTAAGGCCTGAACATACCTTGAGTGCCACAGTGGAAGAAAACATCAGCAGTGGGAGCAGGGCAGTACGACACCACTGATTATTTCAGTGCTTGGACAGTATGGCCATCTAATTTCTTCTCATGTTAGTGGGATTCACTCCTTTTCTGTTGCTACCCTACCTTCATGTATCGCCATGCATCCAGTAAGAGCAGAGCCAGCTTTTGACCAGAGTCATCCTGGTTTTCATGGATCTAATTCCAATTTACATGGCTATCCAGGGTTTATTCAGGGAGTTATATGCTCAGAATTAGGAGCACATACAATGTAACTAGACTACGCATAAGCAGAAAAAAAATCAGACCTTTAGAGTTCTTAGAATTTAGAATACCAATACTTAATGTTAACCTACATGTGAAGATAATGGTTAATATGGATTTTTGAATGTACTTGCATGTGGTCTGATGTGAATGACTTGCTGCCTAAACAAGAGACAGTGCTGCATGCTAAACAGCTTATTCTAGCAATTATCTCCAAACATGATATTTTTGACCCATCAATGATTGTTAGTGAATCTTCAGATATAAATGATAATACAGAGACAGAGAAACATTTTTAAATTACAAAAGCATGCTTGATCATCCCCAACAAAATATGAGATATGGTTACCATTAATTGGAAGCAAACAACATGGACTATGGAATAATCTTAATGGCCTATGCATTTATAATTAAAAAGCAATTGACTTCAAATAGAAGTGCTATAGTCAAAACCTAAAATTTAACATTCATCTCAGAGAACCGTGCTTAACCATCCAACAATATCAGAACATGCAGATTGAATTTTACTTTGAAAAATTAAAAAGAAAGTCCTCCTTGTGTCTTCAGGAAATGTGTATGTACTATTCATTTGGGGTTTTCTTTCTTACATGGAAAAGAGTTCCAACTTACTTTACCACTAAATAAAAATCATTGTTGCCAGATTGGTACAAGGGAGAGGGTCAAGAAGTAGCATTTTAGTATAGGTGGGAATTTGAATTCATGCTAGCATAGGGTGGGGAGTGTTGTGTGTATTCCAGGAGGGTAAGTTCCAGGGGTAAGACCATTAAATTGAGGACATTAAATAACAAAGACAGTGAGGGTTTGGGCTGCAGACCGTTATATTCTTACAAACATCAGGTAAGCTTTTTATTTCCACATGTGTTTGAATACTCTGATGAACAGGCCAGACACCACAAATATTACTTATGGATGGTCTGAAAGCCAAGCTCCAGCTGGGCTTACTGGAAACCTTTATTTTTAGAAACAGTATTTACATCCTTCTCTTTGTGACTCTCATTTTGGCCAAATTGTGAAAACATGCCCCTAAGATGGCATGGATTTGGAAGGAAGACCAGGGTGCAGAGTAGCTACAGTAGGACAGGCCAGGGTGTGGAACTGAGCCAGACAGAAATCATCAGACTTGATTAGAGGTGAACATTGTGCTGGATTTCTACAACTTGGGTTCAGGGTGAGTGAGGCGATGGGTATTTTGCGAGGAAAGTAACAAACCAATGATTCTCAGGGAAAATGGAGGAAGGACACAAACTTATCAATTACCAGGTGATGTGGGAGCAAATTGCTGAGAGTTAGGCTTAAGGTGTCAACAAAAACGTGTGTTCTCTCATGGTGGTTATGATCACTTGAAGCAGCTGGTTTGTTCATGCACATGCACGTGTTACGTGAAATACGTAAAGTCAGCTCAGAAAAACATTACTTTACATTGAGAATGGCTGACTACAAACAAAGGAACTGCATGCAGGGTTGGTAGGAAAGAGAAATACTGTACCAATTGGCAAGGGGCATCCAGCCCATCCAGGCCAGGCTGGCCTGGCTCCCCTTTTTCCCCCTTAACTCCACGGAATCCCTGTTTGTAAAGATTAACTTGCAATGTTACTGTCAAGGAAATGCCTTCAGTACTGACTTAAATGGAGTGAACAAAAAACAACAGAGAGGCAAGAGGAACAAGCTGACTGCTTATGATTTAAACCTGTGGGGCACTGATTCTGACACATTCCAAATTTGGCTCCTTTTCAACGTATTTTGCAGAAAAAAAAAAAAGAGAAAAACAAAACAACTCAAAAAACCCACTAGCAAAACCTTAAAAACTTAGCCCAAAGTTCTTAAGTCTGGTACTTTAACCTCAATTAGGAGGTTTACAAAGCTCCAGAATTTGCACTTGAGATGAAGCTGCGTTAACAAAGGGCAATGGGTTACACAGTAGCTGGTGCTTGTTCCTCTCCCCTCATTTCTTATTTCATCAGTTTACAGCAAGATGACTGATCTTTCAATACACAAGTAAGACATACCAATGGGCAAGGTGCATCTAATCCAGGAGCACCCTGTTCTCCTTTCTCCCCTTTAGGCCCTTTTTTGCCTTTCTTTCCCTTTTCCCCCTGTGGATACAACGGTTTGGATAAAACAAGTTTCATTCTTTTCAAAAAAAAAAAAAAAAAGAAAGATTGGGTTTAAAGTTTGGGTTTTTCTTTTTAAGCCAATGGAGAGCTGAAAGGACACTTACCACTGTGTTCTGGTTTGGATGGTGCATTATGTGGAAAAATAAATTATATGATCACAAGCAAGAACTGCAATCAGCCTCTATTAGTTTGTGTTGGTATTGCATATCAGTATTATGAATGTTTTGAAACCTAGAAGAGGGCTTGAAATCACTGATTTCTTGAGACAGAGGCAAATCTGCAACCCCCCCCCCCCCCCCCAATCCGCAGTCCAAAAAAAATAGTCTTCTATTTTGGTAAGGGACAGCACTGAAGGGTACGAGCTCACTATGCTGAACTTGTCAGCTTTCCAGAGGATTTGCCACCAGTCAGAAGTAACTTTGGGAGAGCAGAATCCATCAGCAGAGTCTTTTGATAAAAGATCTGTAGCACAGATGCTTAACAGGGATGACTGACTAATTCCATCAGCTTCCAGGGTGTCACATCATGGGTGAACCTGGCCAGGAGCATCTTTTACTAACTGACCCTCTGCACTCTGGTAAGAGTTTGGAACAAATCCTGTTCTCTGTGGTATCCATAGAAACCCACAGACATCACTGAGGGTGCACTGCTGTCACTCCAAATACAACACAGTCATTTCAAACCCTGTTACAGGAGTCAAAACACTCCAACTGCTTGATGGAGAGGTGCTATGACACTTCCAAAATTTTCCTATTGTCTTGGTTTCATAAAGTAATCAGAAGTGATAATTACATTATTTAAGTATTTCAACAAATATTCTGTCTGCTGCAGAATAATAATCTATTTGTTTTCAGTCTTTGATTTCACATTGAGTTTTATTTTCAAATGTGAAACTTCCAATGATTTTATTCTCATGGCAATTAGTTGATTCCCCTCAAGAAAGCTACTTGCAAAGATGACCTCACCTTCAAGCAGTGTAAGACGTTTAGAGAGTTCATTTTATAATTGATTTCACACCAGTTGATCACAATGGTAAATGAGTTTCAGGTTGCTCTCAATTTCACAAAAATCAAAAAGGGATCACTTAAAAAAAAATAACAAATTGGACTAGGATTGTAAAAAATAGGATAGGAAGGATGAGTACATCAGGATATCACAAAGAAATGGTCATAGGAAAATTAGTATAACATTGGAGAACCAGCAAGTGAGGTTGTGGCTATTGGGAGGATTTAATCTGTGAGGAAAAGGGTAAAAAAGACAGAGGAATTCTAAGGAATATGGGTAGAAGGAGAAGGAAGGAATGCCCCTTTGGAAAGACAGACAGATTTTGGTGAAGCATATTAAACAGACATTTAACTTGTTCAACACCAGTATAGAAAGGCTTAATCTGTTAACAATAGAGAAAAATAATTTTTATACTTAAAAATGTTTATATAAATAATATTTTAAAAAGAAAGTAAAGTACATTAGTCATTTAATATAACAGGATACTTGACACATTCAAATAAAACAAAATGTTCCATGAACAAAACATACTGCATCCAAGTCATGATAGAAGCAAAGTTACTTATCTTTTCTGTGTGCCAAAAGGTCACAGGATAGTATTTGGAAAAACAGCAATTCAAACATCACCAGATGATACCAATGATAAGATCCTTACCAAATGATAAGATTGTGATGTAAAAAAATCCTCACAAGACAAGAACCATAAATTGGCTACATTTCCATCTCAAACCTACAAAGATGGCAATGTAGCAGAGCTCATTGCTCTATGCTACTTGTGCTATTTGTGCTCAATTGTAGCACCAATATATTTGCAATGAGTGTATGCAAGCACAAAGCATGGACATACTCCAAAAAGGATTCTGAAAACAAACAGTACAGTTTGGTTTCTGACTATTTTTAAAAATTTTGGACTGTTTGTTTCTTTAACTTCTTGTTTTACAAGCCAGCAGGTAACTATTTTCAACTTCTAGTTTTGCAGGCAGATCTATGATCTTACTCAAACCAATGCAGTAGTCACCTGTGTAGAAAAAAAAGTCTGGATTTCCGGGGTACTTAACTACTTTTTCCACAGACTGAGTTCTTTCTTTTTAATCTTTGATCTTTACTCCTTATCCCGAACTATAAAAATCCATAGGAGTTATGGGGATTCTACATCTGATGAGGATTAAAAAAAAAAATTCCTTTCTGTCCTTCCTCAGTACCTAGAGAAATAAAAACTTCTGCAACACTACTATGGTTGGAACAATCTACAATCCTCACATGCACAGATTTTCATCAATGCAGACTATAGGGGAAAAGGACAATGCCTTTCCATCCTCTGTTCAGACATACCCTGCTCCTCTGTCAAAATCCATAACAACAATCACAACTGTGCATCTGGGACCAGGGGCCACTTCCCTCCCTTTCCCACAATACAATATCTAACTTTTTGTCAGAGCTTATTTGTTTCTGAAAGGTATTTTTTTCCTATTCACACAACTTGGAAATACAAACCTTTTTTGTGATGAGTGCTCCTGGACTGTAATTTTGTATGAGTAATTACAGCTAGAACACTTTAAAAATATTCTTACAGCCATGTTAAGAAGACATAATGCAAACACTGACCTGCTTTCACTGTAGTAGAAATACTGATGGGCTAAAATATAGATCAGAAGTCTAGACCTCATCTCAAACTTAAGAAGTAAAGATTTATTCCCTTCATTTCTATGAAAAAAGTGTCACTGGTTCTCTTGAGAATGTTCACAATTATATGTATTTTTGCAGTGCAATTTAAGTTTCTTAACTAGAAACTCACTAATTTCAATTTGTGTGACGTCAGACCAATAGCCAATACTGTGGAAATATTTAAAAACCAAGAAATCCTAAGATGGATGGTCAACTTGTTTATCTGTTATTACAAAAATGGTTTATCTGTTGAAACGGGTGCTGTTACACCAGTTTGGTCACAGACAATTAGTAATTTACGTAAGGAAAACCACGAGAATACAGAAGACTTGTTATAATGAGAACTTGGATTAATTGCATTACTTTGTGTCTTTTGAGAGTCAGCTTTTTATTTGAAAAATAAACTATTGATGCAGCTAAAGTAATTTTGGTGAAATAAGTTTTCTTGCATGATAGAAATATTCCTGGATTTATGGGAAAAACTGCAATGGAAGTGTCTTCCTCAGAGGTCTCAGCTGTATCTTCCCTGACCTTTCGCTGGCAAAGGCCTTCCTTTGCCTCCTAGTTTTACTTAAATACTATGGGAATTTTTAATGCAGGCATTCAAGCTCCATTTCTGCCCTACAGACTTCCTGTAAATCCTCTTTCTGAAAGCCAACAACAGTATGTTTTTTGAAACATATATCAGACTTGCTAACTACTTGATCCCATGCATTCTCCTCAGGAAACAGGGTTTGCCTTTTCATGAATTTTTGGGGGGATAAAGGACCAGAGTTCCTAGGAGATGTGTCCTGCAGGTTCAAGAGAACAAGTATCCACAGGCAACCTAAATCACAACACAACTCCGAAAAGGGTGGAGCTGTGCCACACACCATTCCCACATAAAATTCCCTCACTCCTTTGCAACTGGAAGTCCCATGTTTGACTTATTTAGTCAGTCCCTGGCAATCACAGTCTAATATCCAAAAGCAGCATGCTGGACTCTGGAACATTAAAACATTTTTACATCCTGAGTGCTGAATCTCATCTGTTCCATTTTCACATTATATTTCTATAAGCAAAATTTTTACCAGCTTTCCATCTTTTCTTCCAGAAATCTTCTGGAGGTCTGGTGGCTGAAATTTTTCTACATATCTGCTCTAACTGTACATGGAAAGACAGACTCAAAGTCTGGCTGAAAGGGAGTTCTGGAGGTTGCCTAAGATTCCCATCGTGAGAAGGATGATTCCTGAGCCTAGGTCAGCTCAGACCAGACCAGGTTCCGCAGTGCTCCTTGGGCAGGGGTTCAGCCCCTTCTCTGGACTCACTGTCCCAGTGCTGTGCTGTCCTCCTTGCAAACAATTGCTCTGAACCTCTCAGGAGCACCTTGTGGTCCTGCATTGCCCCATTTGCCATTACCCAGAGAGTTTTGCTCTACCATCGTTTTATCTCCCCTTCTCAGTAGTTTGGCCATCCCATTGTCAGACTAAGCCAGTCCACCTCCTCCACCCTCTGCTCTTGGTTGTGTTTGCCCCAGACCCCTGCCAGCTTGGTAACCTTCTAACTCTCCTATTTTTTTCTTGAACTGTGAGGCTCAAAAGACCATCTGCAGTATTCAAGCAACCTCATTGGAACTGGTTAGGGAGGCATAATTACTTATTTTTATCTTCTGGACACAACTCTTTGATGTATCCCAGGGTGAGAACACAGTGTTAAGCTCATTCAATTTGGCACTTGCTGTAACTCCCAGTTAGCACAAAGAGTATTTCGACCATCACATCTCTGAGCTGGCGGTTATCAGCTACACCTTTAGACTGACAGCTGCTCTCAAGGAGAAAAGCTGTTCACTGGTGGCAGACCTGCACTCTGAGAGCAAGCAAGGGCTCACCATTCATTGTGATTACTCTGCCAGGTCAAACACTGCCTTTATAATATTCATGGAGCACCTGCTTTAACAACTGTTCCGCTCAGTGATCTCTGAGCTCAAAATATACCAAGCAATATACTGAGGGGCAAAAGGGAAGGACGAATTTCATAATACCCTTTTCAATGCATTCTTGGGAAGTGTTTTGCCTAACCAGATAAAGAAATGGAGATGAACTCTAACACTCTGGTGACTTTTTAGCCCTGCTTCTTGTTTAGAACACCATAATGAGCAATTAATCCAGCCTAACCCTGCATATATCAGCATGACAAAAACATTGGTCAGAGATGGAAAAATCATCTGCTGCACGTATGGACTTTTACATGAAGTGGCTTGGTGTGACTTCTAATTCAGCGATTGTAGCAGCTGGGCTTTGTGTTGGATCGAAATGGAAGAGATTTGCTCATGAAGTTTCTCTACAGACACATTAAGTCCTGCATTGCTTTTTACTAAACAGATTTACAAGTCACTGTGTCTGGACACTGAATATGAAGTCAGACTGTTTCTGTTAACTTCACTGTCCAGTTGGTTTACCAGAATGGTAGAATGTATGATTCAATTTAAATCCACAAGTATCACAAAGTCCTTAACTGCAAATAAAACATTACCAAAAATAAAAATTCAAAGAGTTCTTGTCTTAGATACTTGGTGTGGAACAGGTAGCATGTACATGCATATTACACCAGGATCAACCACTAGTGTGCAAATACTGCCAGGGAACAGAGCTGGGCTCTTCAGTATGAAATCACTACCACAATAACTAATGTCTGCATTAAATATTTCAGGATTTTAAAAAGTGCAGGATGGATTGGAGAAAATTAGCCTTAAAAAAAATGCTGTGCTTTTGGACATGTTGGTATTTCTAGTCCTGTACATACACATAAATTTTTGTGGTTTTACATGATTTTGCTCTAGTGTGTATCTGTGACTTGCCTTTTGGCACACAGTAAAAACAAAGGTAAATTTTAATGGGACAATTTATAGTGTAAAGACAGCAGAACTGATTAGCTAAGGAATCAAACAACACTTATGAACACTGTGGTCACCTTTTCTCCCTTTTCTCCTATATCACCCTTTTCTCCTCGAGGACCAGGGAAACCCTATAAAAACAAAGCGGACAAAGATTGACTTTTACTAACATGCAGATTAAATTTTCAAATACTCCTGGAAAACCTAAAAAGATGATTTCACTACATGCTCTGTACATATATTATGTGTGGACACATGCACGGACACAAGAGCATGCAAGACAAGTTGGTAGAGGTTCGTAGAGACATTTTGGCAGCTACAGAAAGAAATCATACCACTCAAACTAGCAATCATCCATGCTACATAGCATATGTGCATTCTTAAAAGAACTCCTCCAAGTTAGGATTTCAGAGTAGGACTACAGAAAAGGACTTGCAGTAAGTCTTTTTAGCATGCCAAGGAAAGAGCCTATGTTTTGAAACACATCCCTTACAGGCTACAGAATGATTCTCCTTAATTAGAATAATTTTAGTTAACTAAGTGCTAAGTGATGCCCTGTTCTTCTACAAAGTTTTTTAGCAAGGATTTTTTCAGCTTTTTCACCGAAGGACCAAGTACTTGTATTGCTAAGCACTACTATCTGGTGGTGTCTGTCGATAAGGGCTGTACATTACGCAATCTTTGTCCTCTTTACCACAGAGAAAGAGCAAAGGCAGCACTCAGCACACTCTCTGCAGGGCCTGCACGCACACTAAAGGGCAGCAAAGGGGTTGTGCTCCATAAGGGATTTCTTGGCAGACTCTTACCGACCCCTGAGAGCGCCCTGGTCACACACATTACTTACATCAAGGCCAGGCTCGCCGTCTTTGCCCTGCCAAAGAACCACAGGAACTGCGTTAGCTTCCCACAGACAAGGACACTGCTGCCCATGTTTAACATTTCCAGGAACTGATAACCTGGCTGCAAAATTTTGCTTGATTGTAAAATTTTGTTTGCAGGCAGATTCCAGGAGCAAGCTAAAAATACAAAAAAAAAGCTAAAAACCTATAAAACTTTCTTTTTAGTTTGCAGGAATGGGAAACAGAAATAGGATAAAAAAACTTTACCCACAAAGGTGACCCTCACATAAAAAAGCATAGCAAGCTAATTTAACACTCCACGGAGCCTGAAAACTGTCTCCAGCCACTGACTCCTGATCCAATTAAATGGATCCAATTAAACCACGGGTCTGTATTCCAGCTTAAATTAATTAATCAAATGGATTAGACTGGAGAGGGTATGGAAACACTAAAAGTCTCCTGGAAAGGCTGGTTGTGCCTGGCCAAGCACATTTACATGACTTTCCTTGCGTCAAAGTACAGAACAGACTTGTGTATATGTACACACCTGACCCAGTCATTAGCAGTGTAAACAGGGAAAGTCAACTGATTTTATTGGGGATATAATTGTAAGGCCAAAGGAAGTTCTCTCTCATATTTTAGAAATGGATAGCATAATTAAAATTATTGATTTAAAACAAATAATTTCACCTATAAATGAGCAACAATGGAATTCTCACGTAACTTCTGAGTAGATGGCACAGAAATGAAAACAAAACAGATCTCTGAAGCAACAAACAAGACAAAAACATAATGGCAATGACATTAAGAATTCACAGCTTTCCACAGTTCCTCCTGAACTCCTGGCACTCTCACATGGTCCCCAGGCAGCTGAAGGCCAAAGGCTGCTGAACCAGGAGCACCTGCATTGGGCATCTCCTCTCTCTTGCTGGTTCATGGAGGTCTGGTTTTTTATGTGCATGGGTAGAAACCCAAGAGTGTGATACAAAACACTGACCTTGCACTGTCAGGGTTTATTATCAATCTCTGCCTTTTCCAACTAACTCTACTGCTAGGTGAAAATCAGCCATAAAGCACACAAAGTTTAATCAGGGAGGGATGAAAAGTGCAGTATGTACAAACTCTGTGCAACTTACAGGCAAGCCATATGGTCCTCTGGGTCCAGGGTCACCTACAGTTCCCTTCTCACCCTAAGAAAAGATTAGAGAACAAGCAAACTAAAACATTGGCTATCTTAGAAATTATCTCTACCAAGTGCTCTAGGTTAAAGTTTATGCATTCCTAAGTATTTTGAATGAAAAATATCCAAGCTAATTTATTTTTATTACATGTTTAAGGGAGAAAGAGAAGGTGTGTATTAGCATTCTTTCTAGGAAGAATGACTTTTTAGGCATATGATATCACATTCATTTCTAAATAGGTTAGTAACTGAAAATATGTTTCAACTGAACACGCACTAGTGTCAAGTTTAAGCTTTTGACAGCTTAATGTTTCTCTCAGCAAGAATACAAAGTTGTAATGAAAACTGAGGATATACAGCATCAAGCTGTATATGCACATAACAGCTGAGATGCAACACAGTGACAGGCAAAAATAATGTGTCAGTCAAAGCTTGATTTAAGTAGGCAATGTTATTAACAGTGACATTGTGAAGATTATCCTATGCATTGTGCTGTGTTGCTAAATCCTCTATTGGATTCTAGGTAAGTGATACAAATACTCTGGTTTATTAAAACCAAAACAATTGTAATAATACGCAAGACAAACAAGTACAGAGATTACTCCAGAAGTCTGATCTCATTCTGCACTAAAATTCCTGGGAAAATTACCAGTTTCCAGAGGGGTGCTGCCAAAGTAATTTCGCAAGCTTAACACAGGGTAAACTTTTCCAAATGGAATGGAATTTCAAGGTGACAAATGGAATTTCGCGCTGACAGTAATAATCACCTTTGCTCTCTAATTGTTCTTTACCAAGACTGATATGAAGTTAAGCTTGCCAAGGCAGCCAGGACTAGCCTGTGTAACTGCAAGCACAGGTCCCTGTGAGCTTGGTAGGAAGTCAGGGCTGGGAAGAAGGTGTGGAAAGCAGTCTTGTTTCAGACTGTTCTTTCTTCTGAATTAAATCCATCAGAAAAGCATTCATCTCTGGCAAGAACTAAATGGCTCAAAGTGTTGATGAAATAAAAGAAAAAAATCCTGACCAGCTCCAGTTTTCAAAGCTCCTGCTCTGGATTTGTTATGCAGGGTGACTTGGATCCCTTCATCACCCCCTTTGCTGAACACGCCCTAACACAGGGCTTCCTGCAAGGCTCTTGGTGTGCACAGGTGCTGTGTTTCATCCTAGCTCATGAGAGAATTCTCTGGTGTGTTAAAATGGGCTGCTACATCTAAATTTCATTGACTGAATTATACAAAAAAGGCAGGCAAGCAGAACAAATGGGACCTTAACCTGTGGTTGAATAATCCCAGCAATAAGGAGTTTGTTGGAAAAACTGACATTTGATCTGTTTTAAATACTTAATATTACGTAATATTAAGTATTTAAAACAGATATTAATACTTTAAATACTTAATATTACTTAGATGTGCACTTCCTTTAGTCTAGAGGTAATGAGATGCGCAGTGTCAGGTCTTTCTGGATTCTGTTACTGATTTCTGAGTAACTTCTGAGCAGCATTTAGGCTCCTATTGTCCCTGGCAGGACAATAGGAGGTTCAGCTGATTTTAAAAACAATAAATCCCTTAACAGCTTTAAAGCTTTCTGCCAAGAAGAAACTAATGTGCTGACCTATGTAGGTAAGAGCTAAAAATCTCTTTGACCAGTACTTGAAATATGTCGAGATCAGTTAAGCACTTTTTTTTTCTTTAATCTTCAACAGCAAGATGACTGTACAAAGTCCTCTCAAGATAGGCTTATAACACTGCTAAACATATGGTAGACATAAAAATACTGAATGTATCAGTCTAGGAAATAATCACATCTGTCATGTAAGAATATATTTGGAGAACTGTATCTCAGAATTTTTTCCCTCCAATACAAAGCACATGCTGAAACATGTTTAGAATATCAGATGAGTTTCTGAATGTTCATGGATTATATGAGATTAATGAACTGTCATGAGCATACTGCCCTGAACCATCACAATTTCCTTCAGGGTAGCAGATATTGGCAAACGTCAAGATTTTGTTTTAATTTTTTTTGTGAGGCAATCCATCAGTGTCCAAAGAACAGAAACCATAACCTATGTTTTTGCCTCCTATTTCACTTCAGTCTCCTGAATCGTGGACAAATATGAGTTACAATTTGCATGAATAAAGCAGAATAATCTGCGTCTCTATTAGGATAGATAGGGATATTTCATAACATTGTCATGGTAGAGAAATATGTTAACCAAATTAAAGAGAATGCACTTTACCTGCTAGTACTAACTGTGTGTAATGATGACAGTGCTGCACAGGCTATACATCTGAAAGCTAAAATCAAGCTCAAAACCAGGTCCTTGTCATCAATGAAAAAAAAAAAATTAAAAAGAAACTGTTTATTTCCAGCTCTCAGATTCCTTTAGCTGGCCAAGAAGCTGGATATACATTATGCCTGTCATCACCCTTCAGGCTTACATGTCCCCTTTCATCAGTAGTAACTGAAGATGACTGTTTTCCAGTGTTCTCTACTTTCCTTTCACTGTAGACAGTATGTAAGTGAAAATAATAATCACACAGTCAGATTCAGAGGCCTATTATGACCTACTCCTCTATTTAATAAAGATGGTCTCAGTAAAATCTCTCTAAGCACCTGGCAAAATGTAATTCCAATAGCTGAAAATTAGTAAGAACTAATAGACACCATTGTCATAAATTATATAATTCACATTATTAATTACTTTTTTAGTTTCTATTAAAAAACTCATCAAACCATATTATAGTGTCATGATTTTCTTATTCTACCTCGTCATTGTCTAAACAGACTTTGTATAAAGATGATCTGACATTTTCTATTTTAATAGTTAACTGAAAATCAACAACCCACCTTAATTTGCACAACAGTCTGTTCTACCTCAGAGTAGTAATTGAGCATTAACTCAAATGCAGCCTGTGCAACAATGAATTCATGATTATTCTGTTATACAGCCCTAATGCTCTCCTAGATTTATACTGGCCCAAGGTTTTCTTCTCAATACAGACAAAATGGGGTCCTATCCCATGAACACTGGCCCTGTGCATTGTTTTTAATTAAAAAGTAAATCTGGAAATCTGCAGACAAAAATATTTCCCCTCCTGCTTTCATGTAAACGAGTTCAACAGTTGCAAATGCAAGTTGTAAACCAGCATCAAAAATACATGATTTGTTATTTAAATAATGAGACATGTATCAACACTGTGCACCTGTTATATAACTATGCTGAAAACAACTTCTCCTCCCAAATGGTATTGAATAATTAAATGAACAATTTAAGCAACAATCCTGCTGGCTGCCTGCTTGGGAAAAAGCCTTCCATCTGTCTTGTGAACTTCCTCCGATTCATTTAGCTCCACAGAAAATGGTGGGTGTGTAGAATTTTTCTGCACACCTTGGTCTCTCTATTTTTGTGAAGTTCTTCTTCTGTGCTCATGCAATCACTGATTTACATCACAGCAATTCCCATCCCCTTTGTAGCCACTGCTTTTCAACACCTACAGCAGGGCTTATTCCAAATCCAGTTGTGTGCCTTCTTATGACCTTGAATACCCTCACAAGAAAAAAACATTAGTAGCTGTCTTCCACGGATGAAAAGAAGAGTTTATATTATATTTCATTGTCAAAGACATTTCAACTGGTAGTTCACATGCATATCCTTAAATATAAAAGGTCATAATGCAAGACTAAAATGTATGGTATTTTTATATACTTCTACATGTGTATTCATTAGAGGATGCACAACTATCTTTTAATATTAAAGGATGTTAAACTATCTTTTCACGGAGTTGACAGAAGATATATTTTGTCCTAATTGAAGCAAAAAAAAAAAAAAAAATTGAATAAGTAATCCCTAGAAAAACAAAAAACACTCAAGTCCTTCAGGCACTTAACTAGCCTGAGTGGTAACTGCAGCCTGCTGTACAGTTTAATTTGGACTGTGCTGCATGTCTTGTATTTATCCCTCAATACACACCTCTGTAAAAACAAATTTTACCTTTCTCAGACGAAGCTACTTGGACCTTTGCCATGTGGCTGCGTCCTTTTTAGAGCTAGTCTGAAGTTGTTTTAGCACAGTTGTTCTGTTAAAGTGAGGAAGTCAAAGAGACAAAGTTCTGGACTGGTAACTCTTCGGAGGTTTCAGGGTATCATCTTCAGGTTTGTTGTAAAAGTTGATGGTTGTATTGCTAAAGGTGACAGGCTTATAGTTAAAGATAAGAGTTCCTATCCTATTTCCACTGAAGAAAATTTACTGTCAATATTTCAAAATTAAATAGCATGGTTCCTGTCTTCTAAGCTTAAGAAAAAAAAGTTTAAGTTTTACAGAGGCTGGAGATATTTTTCCTGGATAAAAACATTTAAGTGAATATAGGAGAGAAATACTTCTCTTTTTTTGCCATTGCATTCTTAAGTATCAGATCACACTATCTTCTTTTGTACCAGCTTGTTCTCAATTTGCACAACATAATGAAACCAATGAAAATCATGTTCTCTTTGTGGCACTGTGAACTAGAAAGTCCAGTCAATTTCTTACTGATTACTCATTTCAAAATACCAACTCCCCTGGAGTTAATGAGTTACAATGTCAATCTCAAACAGATAAATGTGTGTAAGGAGAACACATATACAGTTCTGGGCTGCTCCTCTGCAGGTGAGAGATACTGTGTTGTAACATCTAGGCACAGTATGAGTCCCCATATGCCATTTTTTCACTGTGGCAGTCATTTTCTAGGGAGGAGCACACGGAACATATACTTACTCTCTCTCCTTTGGGACCTGCAGGGCCATGGGGACCAACTGGGCCATCTATGCCCTACAAAAAGGAACAAACAGGGTAAGAGAGAGGGCTTGTTCTTACAACTCTTTTGTTTTAATAGCTGTCTTGTACACAAGAACTAACATGGAATCAGTCTTCACTGGTTGAAAATTTGGATTTAATTGTGATGCAACCTATTTGGCTTTCAAAATTCCACCTATAACCTCTCTTGTTACAAGGCAGAGTGCCTTTTTTCTGTTTGGTGTTCACTACATCCATGGAAGCAATCAGATTTACAAAGATCTTAAACTTGGATTGGAAGAAGATGGAAGGATCAAAAAAAGATTTAATTTTTTTTTTATTTTTAAAATTGCTTATTCTTTAAATTGAAATGTCCACCTGTAAGATGGACTTACCTATTGCAAGAATCAATGAGAATCTTACTTCCAAGATATAACTCTTTCACTGCATAGACTTCTTTATCATTCAAGAAAGCAAAAGATTTAACATCTATGATGTGCAATGTAACAACATGTGTAGATGGACCCCAGCACATCTGCATCTCCTTCACTGATTCCATATTAGCACTGAACAGCTATGTTCTCCTGTAAGCTAAATCCCTAACCTTACTCAGGAAAACTAGCAACCCAACCAAGGCAGATTTTTTTGTCCAACCAAAAATCAAAACTAAGCTGCTTTTTTTAAGATTCAGAGCTCCTTCTACAGAGAATTTAATTCTCTTTCCCACACATATTGCCCTAGGAACCTGCTTGAAGCCCCCTCTTACGCAGCTGGGAAAATGCCTGCAGCACTTGGCCTTCCTTCCTGTGTGCAGTGAGCGAGCTTGGCTGGCACGGCCGGGGGAGCACAGGGACTCAGTCACCGAAGGGGACACAGAAAGACAAGGGACTCACCCGGGCTCCTGGCTTCCCGTCTAAGCCAGATGCTCCCTGTGTGGTTAGGTGGAAACATGGATGATGGGCACGACACGAATGACAAGAACGTGAGATTAGTAAGTGGTGCTGATGAATAAACACAATTCAAATGTACAGTACACACTGTGACAGGGTTCTGGAGTGGGTATCACATTACTACAGCATGTTAGTTAAAAATTCACATGAAACACCAAGAGTCTGATTCTGTTCTCACTTCAGTGTAACATCACTGACCCACCCCTGCCCTCACATCAAGCATATTAGAGCTGAATATTGTCAGGCTATAGGAGCGCTACAAACACCAGATGTTAGGGTGTTTTTGAGCCTGCATACACAAATATTTACTTTGTCATTACTCGCATGCTTTCTGATTTGTAAATAGCGACAATACTGAATGGTATACACAAAGGAAGAAAAATGTGTGTTAACTGCGATAGGAAATATTTAAGTGCAAGAATACTGCATTATGCAGCCAACAAAATCTGGATCCTGACCACAATGGGCTCATTCATTTCCAAGAGCCCGGGAGACAATCACATTTCCTGTTTTCCCGCTAGGCTCCCGGCTCGGAGCACGGGCTGCGGGGAGCGATGAGCATCAGCATCCTTGGGGCCGGGGGGACCCCTCGTGGGCTCCGTGCGAACAGCAGAGCAGCGCCCGGGGACGCGGGGCACAGCACTGCTCGGGACACCCCCCTCCTAAAACAGCTAGCCAAACCAACCCCCCAAAAAACCCAGCTAAAATCTCCAGCCAACTCAATAAAACCAGCCGATTTTTGGAAGCGCTTGGACTTTGCTCCTGAAAATGACATTTAGAAGTAGAAAGCAGGAGCAAGACAAGGTCTGTGTGAATTTGGAAAACCTAGTAGTGTATTTTGTTCTGGAGTCTCTTCTGCCTTGTAGCAATTTTCAGAGCATCTGATCATGCCTCCAAAACTCACTCTCTAGAGATATGTAACTGCCAATGTGAAAATGAGTTTTATTTTTCTCAAAATAAAGTCAAATTCTCAGTGATGTTGACCTTGTCCATCGGCCCTGCACATAATTCTTGAATATTAATCAGAGATGTTTGTGCTCCTTTGGGTCAACTAAGTCCTTTTTCTCCATTTTACTGTTAACGATGACAGCACTGGGAGCAATCCTCATATCATAACAACAGCAAAAAGGAAAAATGAACTCTTTTTCTGAGAAAAAAATAAAGCTGCCTTTTCAGCATGCTTTCAAACACATAAAGTACTTTCTATTTTATCAACCTGAATTTTAAGAACTTTGATGTTTCCATATTTTTAAGGTTCCTCACTTGTAAGACAAAATTAATGCCCAACACCCAGGATGGGAATTTTCTAAAGAACAAGGCAAAAATAAGAATCCAGGGAAAAACAAACAAACAAACAAACAAAAAAACACCCAAAAAATGCAACTAAATCCCCTAAACCAATTTTTAGTTCTCCTCAATTAGACCTCTCAATTTGAACTGCAGAAGTGCAGTAAGAGGAAGAATAACTGAGGAGATGGAAGATAGGGAAGACTCCTTTTTTTAATGGAAACACCATACAACACTTGAATAACAGCACGACTAATGTAATGGGGTGGTGATGACATCCTTGTGACACTGAACACTCTCAACTGACACACAACAACAACAACAACAAAAAATCCTGATAGCACTGGGTTTTACAGGACATTACTTGGGATGATAGCACAGATTTGGGACAAAACAAAACAAAACAAGACTGATGCTCCGCTCCAGCATGGTATATTCTGTGTATGCTATTGAGTAAATCAGAATTGTTCATAAGGAGTAGAAAGAGAGGCTAGTGATTTGCACTGAAATTGAATAGTTGGGTTTTTTTACTTACTGGAAGACCAAGGGGCCCTCTGTCACCCTTTTGACCTGGTTCACCCTTCAATCCTTTAAGACCATTTAACCCTGGTTCACCCTAAACGTAAAAGTATAAATGCCAAATTTTTGGTGCTATAATGGGTATTTAAGCTGGGATAGAAGAAGCCAGACTCAGAAGTAGCTGCAAATTCCAGTTTGAAACAAATTCAACCTTCTCAGCTTACTGGCAATTTACATACTGATTTAATAGTGGGGAAAAGTACTTGGGAGGTGTCTGCTCGAGATTAAAAATCTGTGTAAAAAAACCGACATGAAACTTATGGGTACCAGATTTTAAAAATATTTTCCTAATAATTAATACTATAGTTAGATGGTTAAAATTAAGCATGACTTTCAGGAGGTTTTGGAAATTCTTCAAATCCCATAAACCACCCTATGCAGATAATTCAAACTGAAAGAAAATGTTCATAAAAGTAAGCCTCAAAACTGTAGGTTTCTAGAGTGTGATCTCCTGAAAAGTACATTTGGAAGGAAGCAATACTTTGCCTTACAGTAAACTGGAATTTGCAGCAAAATCTTACATAAAGATATTTTAAACCTTTAAGCATACATAATAAACAGTAACAAGTTAAAAGAAACAGTACAGGTTACACAATGCCAAGCTGCTTGGGAGGTCCACAGATTCTGTGTTCATACACAGAAATTTTAACAATGTAAGAAATGGCACTTTTTATGATTATTAAATTATGCATAGACTATTACACTAAGCATCCCTAAGATGATAATATTGGGCTCAGAGCTGCCAAAAAAATCATTCTCTCATAATGAAAAACTGCATAAGCAGGAGGACTACTCAGTCAGAGTATTGACCACACCTGCCTCTTTTGAGAAACAGAAATACGTGGGTATTTCAATCCAGGCTGCTCCCCATGGCCTTATTGGTAGATTTCCCTTTGATGTATTATATTACCTTATATTATATTAATATTAAAAAAAAATCTCAGTAGAACCCAGTCTGCTCCTTTAAGTAACTCCAGACATCATCTGCCTGCTTTGCACTCCAAGTAGCCATTTCTTCATTCTTATTCTATTTGACTCAATTTGACTTTCAGAGCAGTAGCACTGGAAACACTGATGTTTTGGAAACAGACCTGAGAAATCCCACAAAAGCCTGAGTCTCGGGCCAAAGGCCTGAGGTAAAGCAGGGCTGGTGCTAAAATGGAACATACTTGATTTCAAAAAATGATTTATGACTTAGGTTTCTTGAGCCAAGGTAACAGTCTCATAAGGGGCCAAACCTGTGATTTTCTGTTTTGCAGCTTTAAGAACCCAAGATAAACCCCCGAAACTAAACAAAAACACCCCTTCCTCCTCTTCCTTACTTTTTGAGAAAGGTGTGATTAGGGAGACATAGTGATTTAAATGATCATGCCTGACAAGACCACTTAATGAATACAGTGTCATGCTGAATTTTAACTTACTGGTGACTACTGAATTAAAGCATGAATTAAAATACTCCAACTCTGCCAAAATGCACTTCCACTTTCCTGAGCTGTTCTGATGGGCTAAGAGAGTCCCTAAAGAATATTTATGTTACAGAAAATATTCCAATTGTATTGCAGACCTGTCTGAGCATTAATCCAGTTTGGAAAACACGAAAATGCACACATCAGTTAGTGATAGTGAACCATCATAACATGTGAAGGAACTGGTCACCTAACAAAGGCCATGGAGACTGGAAGAAGCAGGAGATACAAGAGAGCATAAATGAAGACGGTTTATCTGACTTAATTTTGCAAGCCTGTAACATGCTTCTGTATTCCAAAGTAATTCTAGGTGCAATGGTAGCTAGCCCATAAACAGGAAGCCAAATAATTTAGTGCCACATTCCTAATATTCATACAAAAAATGGACTCAGCTGATGCTGAGGGGAAATACTACTCAGAAACAATCACAGAAAATTTAAAAAGCTTTTAAGCTGCTGATATTAAATTCTGCTTTAAGGTTTAAAAATATCAGAAATGCTTATTAAATGAGGTATGACAAAACATAGCTCCATGCATTCAAGAGCAAAGCATGACACTTTGCAGACATAAAGAGCTCATATATTCACAACCGATATTAACTTACCTTTGGGCCAGGCAGTCCATGAGGTCCCTGAAAATAAAAGTAACATTCTTCATTATGAAAGCACACCACAATTTTTTGGAGTTTTTGCTTTGTAGGGACACAAATTACCCCTGTATTTCTTTACCCTCAAAAGAAATGCAGCTATCAATGAAGCAACAGTAAGCACCCGACTGTGAGGAGGAACCAGACCACCAGTATGTTAACAATAACATTTTTTATTGTTTCTGCACCTCTTAAGAATTTTAAGACATGCAAAAAAGGTTTCCAAATTAGGTCCCCTCTTCAATGGCCACATATTCTGGTAGCACTTTTAGTAATCAGGCAATAAAGTGGCAAGAGGGCAGAGACTATTCATAGCCCCTCTGCTCCTCCCAAGCTTACCATGGGGCCTGGAGGACCATGTGGCCCTGGTGGTCCAGGTGGTCCTATCATCTGCAGATAAAAAACAATGGTATTAAATCATGCAGAGCAAAGAACTCCCACAAAAATACCAGAAGTCAGGCTGACCCTTGTTGGCAAGCACTTACAAAAATATCTATGCAACAGTGAACACTGACAACGCATCTAGACAGGGCTTTAGGAATTATTTTGATTTGAAAGACAGGGTACCCAAAGTGCAGATCTGCCTGTGCCATATGGCAGTGTGCCTGTCTCCAGATTCTTATTCCTAGGGTCTAGGATACACTTTAAGACAGTATGGGGGGAAAAATAATAAATCCCCATAAAACAAACAGTACTGAGAAGGGATACTTGAACTTTTAATATTTTATGGTATGTGCTCTGTAGCTCTCTCTTGTACTACTCATTCTACAGAGCTAGAAGGTGATGATGTGTTATTTTATTCCTCCTCAACACTGACGACTGGAAAAGATACTAAATTCAAGCTGGGCTTTGGCGCAATTTCAAAATTGCCCTTTGTCTCTCCTTTTATTTCATTTAGCCCACTTGTACCAAAAATTCTCTGAGGTCATTAAAATAGGTAATCGGGTTGCTCAGCATTTAGTGCACGCATATTCTGCACTGGCTTTCCATGTTCCTAACAAATGCATGGAAAGAATTTCCTGATGATATATCCATCTTAAAATCCCCTCTCTTCCTGGATTTAACCCCAATGGGTTGCTGCCATAACCTGCAGAGTGGCAGCAGGGATGCTAATTCAGGTCTCCAGACTCATGCACTGCTGTAGCAGCCATTGGTGGCAGCAAGAGCAGCAAGAAGCCCGCTGAACTGTAAGACAGACTCCACCAACTTTGAGAGCTCCTGAAAACTGTACGTCTTCCTTCAAGTGAAAGTAAGCAGAACAGGATGAATGAATTAGTGAATTGATTTCTAACAAACTAATCTTCTCATAGAAAGAAACTCAGAGGTTAGGGGTGCCTCCTGTGTCCTGTGATGGCACAGGGCAGCCTCTTTGGCTTTTCAGAGCTATGGATTTGTCACTAACCTCTGCTTTAAAGTCTCTCATTTTACTGTGCTCTGATAATGAAAATCACCCACACCATAAAGGTATTATGTAAGAATTTCTTTGGGGGTTTTGGGCTTGCTTGGTTTTGTTGTTTGTTTGTTTTTTAATGCCTTTACAATGCTTTGAAAAAAAAAATCAGGAGAATGTCTGGTCTCATACAACTAGCTTACTACCCTGGGTCACATATCTGAAGTCAGTCTAGTCTGGTTCTCACTGGACTGTCTGAGATTCCCAGAATATAAGGTGTTGAGAGAGACATTATGGTTTGTTTGGGTTTTTCCTTTCTTCCCCATTTATCTTTTGATTCATTACAGAGCCAGAAGGCTTTGACTGAAGTGAGCAGGAGTTGTTCACAGTCAGAACAGAACAGGAATTATAGCTTTAAAATATCTTAAACTGTATTTAGCTCTATGACCAGAAGTCTGTTTATTCTCAGGAAAGAGCAGTCATGAATATCAAGTATTGCTCAGAATCAGAAGCTGGAGAACCATTTCTGGACCTCTGTATTACATTGCTAAGACTTACTGAAGGACCTTGGGCACCAGGCAAACCAGTGTCTCCTTTTTCACCTTTCATGCCATTGGCTCCCTAAAAATCATTACAAAACAGCATTTATAAGCAGCTTTAATCTTACTAGCAACCAATCTACAAATGATAATATTTATTGGCAAATAATTATAATTTTAAAAACGAATAACACAGCACACATATAAAGGAAATACATTAAAAAATTCTGGCAGTACTTTAAAAATAATTTTTAACTAATATAAACATATGCTTTTATATTGATAGCTGTCAATTGTGCCATGACATTTTTGACAATTCCTTAAACTGGCAATTCCTTAAACTCCCATTCATGATATTGTACTATGGACACAATTTTGAAATTGTTTCTATTGTTTTACTATTTTTTACTTTCTGAGAAATTTCATGTGTATGTATACAAATATATATATATATATACAAAATAAGAGAATGCATCCCATAAATAGTCATGAATTTTTTATCTCTCCTCAATCTAAGTCACCTGAAATTTCCACGCAAAACATAGCTCCTTTCTCCTTGCCCAAGTTGTCCTATATATTACAAGAAAGGTACAACCTTGGTCAGCCTGCCAACTAATCTCTTTCTTCCTGACACAGTATTTTTTTCCACTGTAAGTGGAATAAAAAGTTCTGACAATCTTACACTTCCTCCTAGATTTGCTGCGAAACAATCTCAGCGTTTTCTCCCCAGTTTTGTCTGTCCCATTTGCAATTTATCAGCACTGTTGGAAATTGCTGATAATGAAGAGAGAAAAAAAATAAAAGATTCTTTTGCTAAAATGAATTAATTAATTTTTCATACTCACTGGTAGGCCAGGCAGTCCAATTCCTCCCTTTTCTCCAGGCATTCCAGGATCACCTGTGTCGCCTTTTGAGCCCTTAGGACCCTAAAATATGGACTTATTCAGTAAGTCATGTAAAATATTACAGACATCACCAGAATTCTAGCTTTGATCCTAATAAGCAGAAGTCACGGGCATGTTATATCTGTGCTAGTAAAATGCAGATACTATTAGACCGCAAAGTATGCAGCAGCACTATAATGATCTTTATTAATTATTATAATCATAATACTTAGATTATGAAAACTAAGTTACAATTTGGAACCATGGAAATATCTCTTAAAACAACCTATGGTTGCCCACATGTTTTTCACTATATGATTTAAACAAAATATACCTGCTCTCCATCAGCTCCTGAAGCTCCCGGGGATCCTGGTTCACCCTGCAACAGGTAAGACAGAACTGGATTATCCCAACTGCCCCAGACAGTAGAGGAAAAAGCCTGTGAAATTCCCGTGATTAACGACAACAAATAGAGAATATTCTGTCAAAAGCATATATTTATTATCTATATTAAATAAACAGTCCACCTGATTATGACATTTCACAAACTTGAGGTTGTATAAAAGTCAGACAAGTGCATAAAAAGAAAGGAAAAACGTGACAAAATCCAAGGGGTGAAAGGACTCCAATCCAATGGAAATTTTGCCTGCTACCAGAGTAAATACAGAATCACACCTCTCAATTTATGTAAGGCAGAGATAGATTTCATGGGGTTTTTTTCCCTATTATAAATCACCCAGTGAAGGAGCTCACATTCACCACATTGTCTTATGACCAGTTCCTGGGTACCATTCTCCAAGGGCGCAAGTTCTGGTGATGCAAGGAATCAATGCCATTAGAAACAAACTCCTGTGATGTTGAATTTTGCTTTACATTGTAAATGTTGAATGAGAATGCTCACCTATATAAAGAAACACAACCTCTTCCACACTCCAACTTCTCATTTTACTACATACTCCATGTTGCAGAATTTCTGGGTAGATGATAATGCAAAAAGCAATTTCTGCACACTTCACTGTATACTCTATTATCAATTTTCACATAGAATAAACCTTGTTTCTCACTACTTCTCAAAACAATGTACATGTGTATTGTGATGTATTTCCATATGAAATACTGTCTAAAGTCTAAAATTGAAATGTCTCATATTGTTATTGTAGATGCACATATTTGCTCTTGGAATAGCATAGAGACACTGGGAGAAGATGAAGTATCTAGTATTTAAGAAATAGGAGAAGCACCTCAACTAGTTAAAAGCATTTAGGGAGAGTCCACTAACTTCAACACTTCTTTTTTGAGTATAGACAAATTTATTATTTAAATTTTATAGAACAAGGCAGCATATGGTACTCATTGTCTCTGTGTGGGCTGCTCACTAACCCTTCTGTACTACTTGTAAGCACCAGCCAGGTGGTATTGGCAGGCTTGGGTTTCCAGGCAGGCTCCTGCCCACATGTGTACACTGTAATTTTTACTGACATTAGACAATACTGCACTTATTTGGGTAGGTGCCCCTGTGATTGAAAAGCTGCATTCACATGCACTTACATGGTGGCCAGTGGTCTTGCAGACAGTTTTGCCCACCTCACTCCCAATAAGCCGGAATTCAGGCATGGGAGCCACTGTCTGGTTGTGTGGTGGTTTTGCAAAGTCTTAGGGAGCAACCTCAGTGCTGATGTGAACCCCTGAGTGAGATGCTTCTGTGCTCTTTTAGTACTAATTAATTTTGCTGGTCCTTAGTTAAGCATCTCTGTGTGGCAACTAAACAAGTCACCTATTTTGGAAAGCTACATCTCAAGAATCTGGGATATAAAGTTGGAAACATGCTGTATTTGTTAGATTTACAGTTTAAAAACTGTGCTGGAAGGCTCCATCTACCTGTACACATACATAATTTAAAAAAACCCAGAAAATACTCCACCCTTAAGATGCAACGAGTAAAGTAAGGAAGATCACCTTTGGCCCTTGCAGCCCTTGGGGTCCCGGTGGTCCTGGTGGTCCCTAAACAGAATCACACAAACCTCTTAGCTTTTAAATAAACTCCTGAAGAACTTGCATGTAAGCAAAGGGTGAATGTTAATACAGATACTGTAACAAAACGGGTTAGATTTTTAACACAAAGGGAACCAAGACTAGTTATGGACAAGTTGTTAACTTGTGACAGCTCTCAACAACCACAACATTACCACAAAAAACAGTGTTAAAATAACAGTACAACTCATATTTTATAATAAAGTACTCTGGTCCTATTGATGAAATGGCACTGCTTCCCCTAATGGAAGGGAGACCAAAACCCAATCATATTTGCCAGCCCTCACCACCTGATCCAAAACAATCTGAGACCAGGAGAAATCTCCAACCAGTTTTAAAGAGGATTCTGCTAAAAGATGCTAAGTGAATCTGGGGATACTCAGTGCTTTGTGAAATTGCCATGGAATAAGATATAAGCATTTCTTTCATTTCTACCTCAGGCTGTGGACACAGTGTCATGTATCAAACACTGGTCTGGATGGTACATAGTGGAGATGCTTTAGAAAAAACCCACAACATGTGAAAATCCCCTGCATTAATACAAAGAGAGGGTATGTCCAGATGGGAAAATACGACAACAGGAATCTTGCAGAGAAGAACTTGAAACAAAAAAGAATGTGCTTTCCCAGTCTCGTACTTAAATGAAGTTCTGCCATTAATTCAGTAGGAGCAGAATTGGTTCCATTGTTGGCTTTCAACAATGGGTCCTGTGCTATGGGAACACCAAGCAAAGAAGTCAATAAATGTTATGATGAACCAGGGTGACATTGAATGAAGACATGTACTGAGCTAGCAGAATTACGAACGTGCTGCAGCACAAAGAAGTTCTACGGTGCACAGTAAATCATGCAACAGTAATGAATTACCGTGACAGTCAGGGTGGCAATCCTCTGTCGGCAAAAGGTATTAACAAGAGTTGTCAGTAGCAGAATTAAACAATGATACAAATAATTCTGTTTGCTACAGTTATAATCTCCACAGAACCTATGCTGCATGTGGGAGACACCATGCCTTCAAAAACATGACTAAAACCCCTGTTATTTTAACTCTTGGGGTTGTATTAGCTGCTTGGTTTCTGTTGGAATTACATGAAGGCAGTACTTTTGTACAATGCAAGAGATCAAATAAACAATGACTAAAAAGCAAAATCTAAGCAGAATACTTCAAAAAGGTAAGAAAACATAATGGGTTGGTGTCTGAAGTCGATGAAAAGACTAGCCCTATGTTTTGTAATGTGCAGGATTTGCACCATTGTTCAACTAGTAAATACGACTCCTGGAGTGGAGCTGTAACATTAATTTTCATATAAAAATGCAGTTCTAAATCCAAAACTGTCAGTCTACCACCCGGATATGTTTATTACAATTCTACTTTGAATTCTTGGAAAGACAAAGGATGTTTTCATCATGGAAGAAGGCAAAATACCTTGACCTGTCAAGGGACATTTTTTGCCAAAGAATCTAAAAGCAAGTGGAAAAGTATTAAAATGTAATTTAAATGCTTGTCTATATTTTTAAACAGAGTAAAACCCCCATATATTGAAGCTCACACATACTTTTCTTTTGCATGTGAAGAACTTACTGGCCTACATGGAACCAAAAATATCTTGCTTTTGTAATAATTATCCAATGTGCAATAAAAATTTGCAGATCTTCTGCTTTAAGCTGTAAAATAATCTCCACATCTCAGTGCAACAATACGTACTGTAGGCAAAGATCTGGAGCCTACTCAATACAAAGTACCTGAACAAAATTGTTTTCTAACACACAGCTTTTATATACTCATATTCTTTAATATACTCATATTAATTTCCATTTCAACATATGAGTGGAAATATATCCTGAACTCTAAAAATACTGAAAAGTTCAGGTATGAGCATATCTAGGTATGAGAACCTAAAATAACCATTGCAAAGAACTGTTTACAGGTTCACAGCAATGGATCCCTTTACAGTGGCAGATATTTTAATATCTAATGCTGTAGTTCCTATGAAGGTTAAACTTTTGAAACTACTGCTTTTTGCCCTGAGAAATTCTGCAGAATAGATCTAAAGAGCAATTTTGACAGAAATGAATTTTGTATTTGATCCTTGAAGTGAAAGCCACATACTCTCAGCAGGGGTCTTGCTCAAACCATGATGACAATTTTAAGATTGCACATGAGATTGAATAGGAGGCACAAGGCAAAGTAACTAAATTGCTAGACTGCTTCATGATCTATTACTGAATTCCAGCATGAGACAAGCAGTCCCTATCTTGCAAACTGTGCAAGTTCACAGTCCAGTGCTGAGCACTGAAGTTCTCATGTGCTTTTGTGAGAGAACTGCAAATCTCAGAGCCCCTAAGAATTTGGCACCAGGAGACTTAGGAATGGGTGTTTGCCATCTGAAAGGACTGAGCTGGATTTTGCAAGGATATTTTTGACTGATCCTATATAATCTTACTTACACCCTCCTTGCACAGCCACTCCCATTAATATAGATTTTTTTTGCCCTGGATCAGAAGGTGATGACATTTGGAATGTTTTGCAATGGGATAAAGGCTTTCTAGAATGTTTCAAGTACTGCAGAAGGTTTTAGTCCACTTTTAAGGCTTCTTTATATGCTGCAGCTTTTCTGAGGAAGCTTGAAAGTAACACTGATGCCAGAGTTACAATACAAAGACAGAATATAGGAGATACAGGGGCTAAAGCCCCTGCTAAATCTCTGTCTGGTAATACACCACATGAATTTCAGGCTACTTTAGGCATGTAACTTGGACAGGGATTTAGATGACTGAAAGTTGTGTGTCTGAAGTCCCTTACAAGCTGACCAAATGAGGCAAACATAATGCAGAGCCTAACAACATGTCTATGCAGACCTCCCCACGGACACAATGAAAGAATGGACTCAGCCTTAGTGACATACAAGGCTTTTAGATTTTAGTAAAGGCAGTGAGATTTTTTTTTTATTTTTTGAAAGTGTCTTGGAAACAGAATGACTGGTCAGACATTTACCCACTCCCACTGCGTAAATGTAAGAAAAAGGTTCAGCAGCTTCAGTGAGAAAGTGATCAGATGCACAATGAGCCAAATCCAGTCTTCAGTTTCACATAAGCAAGCCATTCACTTTGGTGGAGTTATACTGCACAGAATTTGCATCTGAGTATGCTGCAATGTAAACCACCTTGACTGCAATGACATATGTCATCTTGGTCCTTTGCTTTTATGCAAACACTCATTCATTCTTTTTGTAACCCCACTTTAATCCTCCACACCAGTCAAAATAGGTTTTCCAGAAACGAATAAGTGAGAAGACTGGTGCTTGGTGTACTTAATGTACTCAAGTTGCTGATTGAATCCACAGCTTGCTAATGGAACCATGTTATATTGTTTCCAAATCTCAAATATTTTGCTCTTTGCATTTTACAAGAAGAGGAGGAGGAAAACAAGGAAACCAAAGAACTGTCAATATTATAATACATGAATTGAAAAGCAGACACTTCTGTTGAACCTGTGTATGTGGTTTATTACATTAATTCAGCACTAAACACCAAAGCCAACAATGAATTCATTTCATCCTGATTAGGTGATGTCAGTAGTCTCCAGGGAACATGAAACTAATTCACTCAGCTAATTTGTATCAGGGAAACAGTTTTTCTAGCACAGAAAACCTGGTTTCCAAATATAGACAGCGATACCTGATTAATAAACTCAACAATTTTGCACACAAAATGTTTTAAAGCTCTAGGCAAAAGAGAAATACAATGCTGTCAAATGATATTTCCCCATACCAGACTAAGCCAATTCAGCCTTGTTATGTTTGCATACCTGCAGAGCTTCATGGATATTTCCATTATAATCAATTATCTCTGTTGCACCTTGATCACCCTTCTGTCCAGGTGGTCCCTGTAACACATTTTCCATTACAATTGTGAGATAACTGCTAAAGACTATTTTAGATTCTTAACTACTGACACCTGCTTTGACTTGACTGTGTGGTGTTAGACTCTAACTGTACTTGCAATGTACTACTACAAAACACAGAATTTAAAGGAAAACATTTTTAAATAAAGATAAATAAGCAAGTCAGTACAAAGTGACTTATGCTGCAGTGGGAAAAGAAATACATAAAACCTCTGAGAAAAGACATTTAAGGATGTTATTACACTCCAGTTCTGTATTGGCAGTGAACAATGTCAGAACACCTGGCTTGTAACATCCTGCCCAGAGAGTGTGGATTGGAGATTCCTCCAAATAGTGGCAAGTGGTGTCAGTCATATTAATGTCAGTTAGCAACCATGTTCCAACAGTGTCAAGTGCCCAATTTCACCCGGAGTTCTAACTAGAATTACTGCTACAATTTCAGTTCACATGGACTGAATCTAAGGGTACAAAACAAAGAGCTGAGATGAGAAGTAGACTTACCCGTGGACCTGCAGATCCTGTGTCACCTCTCTCACCTGTATCACCCTATGTAAAAATGATACATAAAAAAACCAGATATGTCATTTGACAATATATCACATAGTTCTTCCCTTTTAAATATGTTTTCTTACATTAACTGGTTTACAGGGTTTCTCATCCTAAACAGAATGTGAGCCTTATTTAATGAAAGGAAAAAATCCTTAAAAATCTGTGTACTGGTAGAATGGACAATGATGCATTTGGTTCTGTGTGAATATTAGAGTAATGTATTGGTTTGCAATAAAAAATCACAAAGAACCAAAAATGGGCAGATTACCAATTAAGCAATTTTTGCAACATCCCTATTCTTAATGACACTACTATCAAAAGCTTGAACACAATACTAGAGAAATGAAATTAAGTCTGAAACTAGTCAAAAACATCTTCAAATGTGTGTTTCAAAATATATAACCTTTTCTTTCTGTGATTATGCCTCCACTAACCTTCTGAACTCCCCTGGTCTGAGTCACTGCCTCCCCTACAAACACATCTGTACTATGAGATTTAGAGTTTCCTGATGCCCTTTCTGTGACAGGCTTAAGATCATTACCCGCTTACACACAGCTTTTTAGCCCTGGCTATATGTAATGATTCAAGTAATATGATTCAAACAATGGAGGGAATTTCAAACATGTAGGCATTCATATCCCAGCATCCACAATTCATTTCACAGTCACTTTCAGAGCAAGGTCTTATATTTTCATTTTAATGTTACTCAGAATTAATATAGGTAAAAACTGAAAATTTTGCTCCTGTTGACAACTAGAGAACTTTGGTAAAGTCAGGAGAAGAATGATTAATTCACCAGTGGTAGCAGAACAGAAAACTTTCTGGTAACAGAAACCAGAAAACCTTCATAGAGCTAATGAAGGTATATGGAGAGCAGGCTGGTGGCAGGGCATAATCAAGGTTGTGCCATCTGCCTTTCCTTCCAGTACTGCTTTGGCAGAAGCTAGTGAACATTGGAACTGCTGAAAAATTAAGTTCCCTGCCACTAGATTGACTACTGTGGGCCAGATTTTCATGCAGGTAAAATGAAAATCAACATCCTTTTTTGATAAAAAGGGTAAAATTAAAATCTATATCCTTTTTTGATAAAAAGTTAATTAAAGGGGATATCTTTATAATTTTGGTGCAGTGGGAGGTGCCCAGGTACTGTAGTCAAATGAGAGGCTGATTTACTTTTCTGCTGTCACTCTGATACTTTAATTCCACTCATCAGTTCCCTTGCCTTCCTACACTTCTTTCTGGTGGGAACGAATGAGGTTAAATGGCACTTGTTTAATGACATCCTTAAGCACTTAAGGCCACTCTTCAAGGATCTTACAAGTACTGCAACCAGTATCACACCAGACTACATTGTCCTGTCACCCTTATTCTGACAGTAGACCTGTCAATAACCACCTACACAAGTACATTTTCATCCCTCATATAACATGAAGGAATCCAGTGGGAACAGTATTTGCACAGCAGATGAAGTCATAGAAAAAACACATATTTTATCTCTCCATATATGTGACCCAACTATATTTGTAGAAATATAAATGGGTGGAAAGATATGATCAAAGTCATCTTTTTAAAGCAGGTAAAACAGCAACACAATCAACAACTCCTGCCTTTGTAAGACTTCTGACTGTCGTATCTCAGCCTGCAGCACTTGGAATACCTCTGATTCCCAGCTCACCAGAGTTTGGATCCATAAAATTATTGCAAACCCATGACACCACAGCCAGGCATTGGGTCTTGGCATGTGGGGAGGACTAACACACATCGGTGACACAGAGAGAAACCAATTTGCATAAAGAAATCAACAGCAAAGTGGAATGGATGTTATAACAGAAAAAGGATTAGAACCACAGGATTCAAAACCCATGTGACTTGACTAATTTTTTTGGCTAAAATTGAAGGCCATAAGGTTTCACTTATAAAGAACACTGCAGATTGTTACAGGTTCTTTTAAAGAGAAATGTTACAAATAATTGATCCTAAAATTCATCATGTTAATTAGTCCCCTAAAGACAGTTTCTTTACCACTAACCTTTGACCCTTTGGGGCCTCTAGATCCAGGTTCACCTGTTTTCCCCTGTTTGAAGAAAGATAGGAGAAAAATGATAGAGAAATGGGAGTGCAGAGAAAAAGAAATTAGTCATTACTAACTACAGTTTGGAACAGCAGAAATACTTTATATTGATATTACCAAGCTAATGAATTTTTAAAGGTATTTATTTTAATAGCACCCAGATGAATATATTCTTTAACACCAGAGTGCAATGGTTACAGATTCCACCCTTCCAAAGGAAAAGTAGTATTGGCATTAGTAAAGACAGGCATCATTATCACTGGCTTTCAGGAATGAGATATGTCATTCCATTGCTCCTGAGAAATGATAGCCAAGAGATAGAGAAGATACTTAAATATTCTAACAGAAGGAGATTAAAATATAGTGTTACCACAACTTCTTCTCCCAACAGTTCAGGTGAATACAAACTAACTGGCAAGGAGTCCAAAATTAACCTTATTGTTTTCAAAATGCATTAGGAAAGTAAAACTTGATAATATCAACACCAAGGGAAATACTAAGACAATGCTAAAAGTAGTTAGACTGATCTCTTTCTTAGAGAGTTAGAAAACAGCATGCAAAATGGATTTTCTCTGCATTCAACTGCTACAGTGGTCAAAGAGTTCAAGCTTCAGTGCTGAAAGTTAGGGACCTGGAGGTCAGTACTTCAGCTGGAATGAATTAGGCCAATTCCATGACAGTGTATGTAGGTAGTGTCTTTACTTTGTAGACCAAATAAAAGTCCATTCAGACTGCAGTTTCACAGCTGTGAACACAAAACTGCCATTGTCTTCTGGACTGCAGTAGAGCATTTGACAGCATCTTCATTTAAAAGTTCACTCACCAACTTTTGTTCTACTTTTCAGCAGGCAAAGACGTGTTCATAGGTGTAAAACTTACAAAACATTTCCAATGTAAAAATCAGACTGACCTTTGGTCCAGGGATTCCAGGTTCACCTCGCTCACCCTTCCCAACAGGGCCTGCCTCTCCTCTGTCACCCTATTGCAACAGACACACATATATCACAAAGGGCAGCCCTTAGCACACTACCAACTCAGCAGGACCAAAGAAACCAAGCCAACAGCAAAACCAGTGGTTTAGTCTGTGTTTTCAGAATCTGGTGCACAGTTCTACTTCCTGCACACACATTCAAGCCATTTTCCTAAAAAAAACCCCCACATTTATGAAAATACAGCTTTTGCCAACATGCCTATTCTGCCTCTTGAACAACTAAATTTGGGGATCCTAACATGAAAAAAGATGACTTACTAAATTTATGATTTAATATCTGCCTTCACAATTTTTGAGGGCACCAACATGAATATCTATATATCTATCTCATAGCACTGGTCCATGACTTTTCCCATTTTCTCCAACAGTAGCCTCAGTCACTGCTACTTGCTGAGTAAAGCTGAATTTGACAACAGCTCAAGGGGCTTCACACCAGAGCATTGGCCCATTAACCCTTACCTTTGTTCCTGGCAGCCCTGGCAACCCAGGTTCTCCTTGTGGACCAATGAAACCTGGTTCACCCTTCAAAGATACAATATGAGAGGGTTATTTATTTAGCAGTATGCATTCATAATAACACGAGGTTATTTTGGTTATTTGGGTACTGCTTACAGCTCTTCAGCTGTGATGCAACAGTTATACAGAAGTACTTTTTGTCATGGGTTACTTTCACCAGCATAAATTCCTGTAACAAGCCACCACACAGCAGATGAGATGCAAATGAAGCAGAAGGTGTTAAAGATGGGGTTTATGAGGTTAAGGATGGTTAATATGCAACCTGGTCTGGACCATAACACATCAAACTATTATCAAAGCAAGTCTGAAGGCAGGAGGAGAGATCTGAGTGTTCCTAAATTTAAAAAGGGACAGTTCATTTCAGTGATGTGTTTTAAGGTGGTTTCCTACTGCAGCATGTGAATAGATGGGCAGGAATGCTGTGTGACAAAGCAGTGACAAATGGAGATGGTACTGTTTTGATGCGTTGTGTCTCCTTTCAAGTCAGAGACCTGCAGTATCATGGTACTTTCCTTCCTCCTTCTGACAGTAAAATACTGCAGTTCCCTGCACCCAGACAATTTCTTGGGCTGTGGACAGCTGGGAATGAGACACAGCTCTCCTCATTCCCTCTCTGTTCTGCCCCCCTCCTTCCCATTCAATTGTACAAAGAGGACAGACAAATAGCAAGAATCAAGCAGAGTTGCAGCAGAAGCAGCACTGAGCAGAAGAGTAAGGCCATATTTTATTATCTATATCCATACCTGAAGAGAGACAATGCAAGATTTACAAGCCATATGCTTTCCTTCACAAACTCTCCTGAATAAGCCTTACGGCTATTTAATCTTGCATTTTTTTAGATATATTTGAACCAAGAAGATATATCCACAGGCTATTGTAAGTTTTAAAATCAGTTATGTAACCCAATTAATATTTATTTAATTAGCCTTTTTGCAATATCCCTGAACTTAATGACTAAAAATTACCCATTAAATGCCTTTTAAAATAGCTAAAAGACCAATAGATCATAATCCTCTAGTGACATCATTACTGACAATATACAGAGACAGTGCATATGAGCAGTTGAATAATATTTCTCTTCATCTCTTCCCCTCCTTAGAAATACAGGTATGCTGCACATGATGAGCAAATTAGGAAATGTTCTTGCACATTCATCTGTGCTCTCATTAGCAATCCATCATTAACTTTCAAAGCCAAAGAAATGTTCCCTGTGGTTATATCAAGGATGACAGCAAGCTCCCAGAGACCTCCATTTAGCTTATAAAAAAATACAAGTAAATAATGAGCTTTCTCACATGAAGTTCCAGCTGGCCGTGATTCAAAATATGGTAAAGAAATAAACTGAGACAAACATGTCACAGAGAAGCAAGTGGGGTTTTCTTTTTGCTCTCATAAGAGAAAAAACTTAAGAGTTAATATAAGTCTTTATATTAGTACACAGCAGCAAGACTAACACAAGGTTGTCACTGCAGATGGAAGCACTTTTAATTTCAGCAAATGAAGAACAATGCTGCTTCAATAATTTATTTTAGAATGAGAAGGTAGTCAACAGCCCCATGTTGTTTTAATACTAAATTTGCCTGGGCTAATTTTTTGGCCAGCTTATTATGACTTCAGGCAGAAAAAAAATGCAGTGACTACATGGTTCTTTTCAGTGGTAAGGCTTAGAAGTGTCACTCAAAGGCTGATGCAGTTTTTAAGTAAAATTCTTCTCTTTGCTCAAGACTGTACCAGTTTCACACTACAAGAAAACTTCTGCCAAAGTCCAAGAAGCAGCCCCACCTTCCCCCAAAATCTCTAAAGAGAGAAGAAAAAGATGCTTTGCAAAAGCTTGTGGAATTGATAATGGTATAAGCTGGTGGTTTAATTAGCATAAATAGAATACAAGTCTTATATGGCAGAGAGCTTTAAAATGTTTTGAAATGTGGAGTGGAAGAAGTGGTGCGTCAGCAGAGAGCAGGAACTGACTGGGTGAGCAGCAGCTCTGCTGGGAAAGTTACAGTGGATGCCAAGCTGAATGTGATCCAACAGTGCATTCTTATCACACATGAAACAAACTGCAGTAGTTAAAACCTGACTACATAAAGAAAAACTTGCAATTCTCCCTCTATCCAGTGCTAGAGAGGATAAGTAGATTAAAAAAGAGATCTGATTTGCCATCTGAACTAAGCTTCTAAGTAAAAAAGACAAGGTCTTTGAATAGTTTGGAACTAAGCCATGTCTTCTCTAATATTTCAAATCCCTTGAGTGTAACCACAGCATAAAGCATTAAGTAAAATGTTCATTGGGTATATTTCTGCATCTTGCCATAATATTGATGGCTTCATGCTTTATGCTATCTTTTATGCCACTCAGATAGCAAAATACCAAAACAAAAAAGGAATCGATCAAAATTGGCACTGCCAGTGATGTGTGAAATGTAAAGAAAACAGTTTCCTCTCAGTAAGGCATGCTGATGTCCCGGTTATGCAAAGGCAAGGGAAAGACCTTTATGATTAGTCCATGAGACAAAAAAGATTCCAGAGCTGTACAGGAATGTGGTTAGAAAATCAAGAATTAAGGGTTTTAGCTTTTTCTGTAAATATATATTTGATTTAGCTGGCACATAGCATCAGGAAAGCAAGGGTAAAGGCTTGCTTGGGAGGGCACTGTGGGTTGACACCATTGCAGCTCTGGTGTTCACTGAAGAACCTCCTGTTCATAAGTCTTTTCCTTAAATGAATGCAGAATTTGTTCTAGCTACCGTGAAAGGCTGAGAGGAATGCAAGGGATCAGAGTCACCAAGACTTATAAAACTTTTCCAAACATCTCACTACAACTTCTTACAATAAAATCAAGGTTTTATCCAGTTAAAATGTGCAGCAATCTTCTTTGCCTGCTAACTGGGACAGGGAATATAAAATCTGCAATACTGTAATCTGAAGTATGGCTTGGCAGCTGTGTAGAAAGCCATCAAAAAATTATGACTGTCACACATTTTAGTTTTTTGTGTAACCCTTTGGTATAGTTATGAAATCACTGCTTAGAAACCACCACATTGCACAAGATGTCAACAAGGTATATTTCAGCATTCAACTTCATCCACTGTTAGACTTGGAGCAATTTGTATTAATCGCAACAGAGGAAACTTGGTTTTAAAAAAATTAAAAAATAACAACCTTGTGAATTTCTTCCAGTCTAGAGAAGTGATGTGTTATGATATTAAGAATAATTTTTAGTGTCTTTATGTGTTAATATTTTAAGAGACTACCCCCGTGCACGCTCATTTTCATTCTCAAGTACTTGCTGACTGTGGAAATACTAGAGGGTCAGATAACAAATAATATACTACCATTCACAAACATTGTTAATGTTCATTTTTCACCTCTTATAACAGTATGAAGAAGAAAAGGGCCCTAAAATGCCGTAAACCTGGTGCAATGTGAGCACAATCAGAATTTAATAGTAAAAACTCACCTTGCTCTTTACTTCAGAGGATAGTCAGATTTTTATGAGGGTTATTATCTAGACATAATTAAAACTGGTTTTCATGATGATCAAAGCTTTCATGGGCTGAAGCAGAGGCTGGCTTTGATACTAGAGGTTAACCCTAAGAACCACTTTAGTTCACTCTCTGTCAGCTTTAAATTTTACAGAACCCATGATTGCCTAAAACTTGGAGTTTTGCTTAAAAATGGTACAGCAGTTGAAATTACATTTTCACTGCTGGTTTCTGTTTTATACATCACTCATTTGGCAAATGTTTATTAACAGTGTAGTTCTAATACCACATTTGGTCAGAATTAGCCTCCATTGCACAGCTGGGACACACATCACCATCATTATTTAAAACTTTGCTCTCACAGACACACCTAGTCCTCTCCCAGTGCCTAAAATGCAAAGGTTAATGCTGATGCAAGCAACCAGCAGAGAACAGAAGTTGTTGGGTACACTGTTTCCCATAGAAGTTTCTTCCTCCTTTAATCACTCTCCTAATGACTATACAACACATTTTCACATCCAGATCAATGAATTCCTAAAAAAGAAACCTGTGCTGCAGGAAGACATCCAAACCACAACTTTCCTATAACAATGAAATAAATTCTCTTCGATTTCTGAAATTACCATCCTATTTGTAAGTGTCATGGTTACCTTACTATATTCCAGCGACATCAGATTATTACAGCATTTTCTCTGTGCTACAAAAGTGGGACTAAACCAACCCTTAGACTATGAATTTGAAAAGAGAATGTAATTTCAGACCTTATTCTTATCTAGTGCTATGGACTAGAATTAGCTAGAGAAATTTAAATGTCTAACTCTGACCTTTATTACATTGTTCACTGGTCCTGAAAGACTGTTCAATGTTGGTGCCACTGCCAAGACCATGGAAGTTCTGCGCCTCCTGGGCTGACTGGCAGGTCTGCCACAAGGCAGGACACACAAACACCTTTTCCTGGCATTCTCCTGGAAATCCGAACGTACCAAGGTCAAGACTACTGCGTGCACACCTCTGAGATGGCAAACCATGCCAAAGCATCCTGAATTTCTGTGGAGGACTCCAGAAAGGGGGATGCACCCAACCTTTGCCATTAATAGCCAACCTAGTGGTGTGGGCTGGAGGAAAACCACAACCATGTTTGAATACACAGCTTTGGACAGGCTTGCAGAGTCCAGACTCCTGTCTCCAAGTCTAGTGGACCTCCAAAATTCCTGTCTAGCATGGACCACCATGAAAATTCTTCAAGAGTAACAGAATTTGGGAGATCCCAAAGTTCCTTTCTGATGAAGACTGATGTGGAAGGGTCCTCATTTTAACAACATCAAGAGACCAGTGATTGTCTTCAGTTTTACCCTGGCTCTCTTATAAGCATATTTAAAACAAAAACAGTATGATGCCCTTGCCTAACACTACCAGAAGAATCCTGCAAAGGTGGGGATATATAGAAGAGCTATCAAGAAAGACCCCAAACCCAGATGCAAGACAATTTGAACAGCTATGAAGCTGTAATAAATTGGATTTAGTT